AAAACTTACCCTGCCTTATAGGCACATTTCTTCTAAATCTGATCATAAAACCACAAAATTTTGCTAACTTCAATCTCCAGTATTTGTGTAGTCTTAGCCATTGGTCACATGACAGATTTATACAAGAGCAGACAGTTCAGGACAGATGTTAGCAGGAAGCTAGGAATGATGTGAAATAACCTGGCAGCACAGTACAGAAATGTAAGTTCTATGTTTTCCTTTTGGATTTTTGAGAAAATGTTTACAAATTAAGGCACATTCAGATGTCTGCTATTATGCTATTATGTTTAATATAGATTTTACCCAAATAATTAGAATTAGGTGTGGCTTAAAGTATAAATGAATCTTTTAAAAAATAATTGTGTATCTGGAAGTAAGTTAAGTAAATCATTTCTTAAAAATTTTTTATTTCCAAAGCGAAATGAACTTAATTGGGTAGTCCATCCCCAACTTCATAATTGATATCAATCTGGTTTGTTGTATTTGAGTGTCCACAGCTTAGTGTTAATTATATGAGATGAAATTCTTTATGTCTTCATTGGTTACAAAATTTACCAAAGAAAATGTGTCAGCCAAATATAATTTTTAAAGTACCTGTTAAGGAATGAGGCTACTTTAACATGAAGGACTGCTTTCTAGCTCTGGGAGAAATAGATATTAAATTATTCTTTCATCTGGAACATAGATATACAGTAGTATCTGCAAGATTCCACTTGAGGTTTTCTTATTGTTAGTAAAATGTCAACATTTACACTTCCAGCAAAAGTACCAGTTACACGTTAAGTCCAAATATTGCTGTGGCACATTTTCATGTCTCCTTAACTCAAATAAAGGATTCTGTTTCCTCAATATTGAATGAAAAAGGGGGCAGGTTCTTAAAATTAGTATATTGTATGATATTGTGACTTTTAAAAAATAAAATTGAGGGGAAAATTATGGAAATGCACCTTTCAAATGGGCAATGGCAATTATTTTTAGTAAGTATGATATGGGTTAAATTGGCAAGTTTACATAATTTATGTACTTGATCACTGGGTATATTTTTTTCTTTGCAGAAAAACATGATTGGGTTATGAAAAGCTAAAATACTCTTTTTTAAAAAATGTATAGACCAATAAGAACTAAAAGATTTACTTAAACTATTAAAGAGTGATCTTTTTGTGGAAAATATGAAATGTAATTGTATATTAACTGATGTTCCAAACAGGTTCTATGTATTATAATTTTTCATATCAGGTGGTAGTTAAAAGTAATGAATGTATTACTCTTTTCCAGCTATCTGGGAAAGAGGAAGTTGGCTTTCTAAGAATTATTAATATAGGTTTGTGGGTTTTATCCAAACTGAATTGAGAGATAATGTTCAATGCTCCATGTGTTTTAAAATATTTGTAATAAGTACATCAACTGCTTTATAATGAATCTTTTATTCTAAAAATTATGCTGGCTTTAGTCAGTTTAAATGGTTAAGTGAAACGGTATTTATGGCAGATGATTTTCCCCATAATTGGCTCTCCTGAGCTACAGTTTCTGAAGGTTTTCCTACTTGAGCATTATGTAGTCTGATCTCTGTCAAAATGGACAAGTAAAAAGAAAATATCCCACTTTCACATGTTAGCTTCATAAAAGGTTATGGAATGTACATACAGATCAGCTCTTCTCCCCGCACCCCCTTTTCTTTTTTTTAACCCAGCATCAACCTATGGCTTGGTATAAACTTCCCAAGTATTCAGAGAATAAGTAGTGCTGGTGAAAATTTAAATAGGATAGGCATGAAGAAAATATGACCTCTACTGACTGATGTTCTTTCAACCTAGGACTAGTGAAATCCTTCATTTTTTTTCAGAGCTGAAAAAAAAACAACCCTGCACATTTAAGATCATATTTATTGGTGCATGTAAGCCATTATCTTAACTGTCTTACTGAACCAGTTACTATTGTTGATTGTTGAAATGTGAAATGTAGACACTGTTGACCTGTAAATATCTGCCAGAGATGAAAAAATATTTTAAGGTATTGTAAATAAAGATGTATAAAATTCATTATTAGTCTGCAATGCAGAAACATGTAAGATGTTAAATATTGTGTTTCTTAAGAGATGTGTAATTTTTCCCTAGTTGTATCTAGTTACATTAAGAATGTAAATTTTCTTTTGTACAGTAAAAATACAGCTTTATTTGGCTTTAGACTGGATTTCTCTGAGTTAATTTTATATCTTACCTAAATTTCATACCTTAAAATGATCTTTCATTGCGTTATTTTATTGTATGCTTAAACATTTTATGACACCCTATTAAATTAAGGCAGTTTATGAAATTAAGGCAATATATAAAACTACATACAGCACCATAAAATAAGAGTGAACATGAAGGCAGAAGTAAAATTAATACATGTATGTTACTGTTGAGATAAAAGTTTATCTCTGAGCAGAGAGAAGTAAGATTATGTGATTTTTGGTATCCTTAAAAAAAATCAGTTTCTCAGATGAAGCACACTGTTTCTAGTAGTGAAATGTCAGAAAGTTTCCTTTCGTGGGTCCTTATAAAGAGCCGTTGTTTTAGTACTAGAGGCCCGGTGCACAAATTCATGCACCAGTGGGGTCCCTCAGCCTGGCCTGTGGGATTGGGCTGAAACCGGCTCTCCGACATCCCCTGAGGAGTCCCAGATTGCAAGAAGGCACAGGCCAGGCCAAAGGACCCCACCGGTGCACAATCGGGGCTGGGGAGAGACACGGGAGGTTAGCCAGCTGGAGAGGGACTGCAGGAGGGCTCCAGGGGATGTCTGGCCCATCTCAGTCCAGATCAGAGGGACCACAACAGCAAGCTAACCTACTAGTTGAAGCGTCTGCCCCCTGGTGGTCGGTGCACGTCATAGCAACTGGTTGACCAGTTGACTGTCTGCCCCCTGGTGGTCAGTGCACATCATAGGGAGCGGTTGAGTGGTCTTAGCATATCATTAGCATATTACACTTTGATTGGTTGAACGGATGACCAGACATAGGCTTTTATTATATGGGATCACTTACACTCCCTTCAGTGGTGAATTTTGAAAGTGTGTTTCCTCACACTCTTACCAGCAGTTGGTTTTCTCTAGTTATTAAACTTCATCTTCCCCACCTTGCATTTTCTAAAGTATGCTTTAGCTTTTCCTTGGAAAGTGGATTTAATGAAGGGCTGCACCCATGCCCTCTTTTTCTTTTCCCTTTCACCCACTTCGTAGAAAAATTTCTTCTGTGCTTTTCCCCCCTGTGGCTATTAGTCCTTACTTATCAGATCAAGGCTCTGTTTTCTCTTTTATTCAGATCCAACAATACAAAGCACATGACATTTCTTTATATCTTATTTATTATGCCTTAATCCAGCGGTTCTCAACCTGTGGGTCGCGACCCCTTTGGCAGTCGAACGACCCTTTCACAGGGGTCGCCTAAGACCATCCTCCATATCAGATATTTACATTACAATCTATAACAGTAGCAACATTACAGTTATGAAGTAGCAACGAAAATAATTTTATGGTTGGGTCACAACATGAGGAGCTGTATTTAAAGGGCCAGAAGGTTGAGAACCACTGCCTTAATCCAAAACCACTTAAGGGCTAGCAGTTCCAGAAGAGGAAGGTATAATGCAACTCAGGAGCCTTATGTTTTCCTTTCTCCTCGGCTCAGGATCTGCATTAGTTAGGAAAGATGAGAGTCACTGACAGTTTCAGTTGTTTCCTTTTATTCAAAACTAGTGACCTGGTGCACGGATTCGTGCACATTGAAAGGAAATTAATTAGAAGTTGGCCGGCTGGACGGGACTTGGCGAGATGGGCCGGCCAAGGAGGGACTGCAGAAGGTTGGACACACCCTGGAGCCAACCTTCCTCAGTCCCTCCTTGGCCGGCCACACCTAGGGCGGTGCCATGGCTCGAAGGGCATCTGCAGAGTGAGCCTGTCCCTCTGGCAGGTGGGGTCCCTTGGCCTGGCCTGCAGGGGTGAGGCCAAAACCGGCTCTCCCACATCCCCTGAGCAGTTCCGGTGTGCGAGAGGGCACTCTGCAAAGTTGCTGTTGTACAGCGTGTGGAATGCAAACATGTGTGCAGTAAGTTAACCAGAATCAGGGCTGACAGTGCCCCAGCAATAACACAACCCACGGCTGAAGGTGGGATCGCATGGCCCAGCGAGGAATTGGGCTCCCTCCTCTCTGGTTCCTGGGTGCGTCACCAGAGAACCGCCACTGCCCAGTCACCGCAGCTTTTGCATTGAGCGTCTGCCCCCTGGTGGTCAGTGTGTGGTCAGGTACTGGCCAATCGGCCAGTGGGATGGTCACTTAGCCTTTTATATATAGAGATGTTATACTTGCTCATCTTGAAAACCTCAGGAAATATAAAGTACAAAAGAAAACATCATTAAAGTATAATAACATAGTGAATAACCCTGGCCAGTGCTTGGTTGGAGCGTCACCAGTGCATGGAAGGGTCGCAGGTTCCATTCCCAGCCCATGGTTGGGGCGTGTACAGGGCAACAGATCCATGCATCTCTCTCTCCTTCCCTCCCTTCCACTTTCTAAAAATCAATGGGGGAAAAGATAATCCTCGGGCGAGGAGTAACACCAAAAAACACAAAAATCCACGCAAGAGAAACAAAAACATATGTTTTTTAAAAAAATGGGAATTAATTCTTACTATATTTTTCCTGAAAAACAACACCGTATCTAGAGAAACCAATGAACACTTCAGATTCTCTCCGGACAGAGAAACTGCTAAAGCCGCTACACCTCCGCGGACCTCCTGGGATCCAGCCTGCACTCCCGCCCCCTCCCGCTCCCTCCCGCTCCCTCCCCCGGAAACGGAAGAATGAAGGAAAGGCCCCCGCCTCGCGCTTGCGGATTAGTTTCCATCAGGTTCCTTGGTGGGCGGGGCCCCCAGGTCGGCGCCGGGTGGCCAGCAGAGCCGTCGCTCTCGGCCGGCCCCGCTTCCTATTGGTTCCCTGGAGCCCCGCCCCCGGAGCAGGGCGGGAGATTCGGTGTGTCCCAGCGGCGCTCCCTCCCCCGCCAGGGTCTGGGGGTTTGGTCTGGACCCTGCGACCCGGCTCCGGCTCCTCGTACCCGAATTCTGCCTCCCCCTCGGCCGAAGCCGCCTTCCCCGCCGCGACCCTGCAGCGGGGCAGCGTCCGGTGGGCGCGAGGCGGCCGAGCCGCGCCGGCGGAGACAGCGGTGCGTGGTGGGCGCCGCGCAGCCCGCCTTCCTCCCCTGAGCTCCCTGCTGGTGGGGTGAGTCCTGATGCGTCGGACGTGGGGCGCGGGTCCCCGGGTCTCCCCGTGGCACACGCGCCGGGGCCGCTGCGTCTCCCCCGTTTCTCTCCCAGGCTGTCCCAGCCCGCGGCCCCCGGGACCCCCGCTGGCGGAGCGCAGCCAACGGGTCGGCGGCGCGAGGCCCAGGCCGAGGTCCGTCAACTCGTGTTGGGGTGATGGGCTCCCTGTAGGAAGACCGTTCGTCTGTCTGTCCAGCTGTGACAGGCCTCCTGTGCCAGGGCCGCTGCGACCCACGTGCCTGCGATGGTAAAGGGAGGGCTGCACGCAGTGGTATCCGTCATGAGCGGAGTGGTGTCCGGGCGGAGGAGCGGCCCCGGGAGGCCTGCGGGACCGAGGTTGCGTCCCGGGACCACCCTGCAGCGAACCCCCGTGGGGCGCCCCAGCCCGGAAGCGCGGAGTGAAGCCAGCGGGTCAGCGCTCGGCCGTGCAGGGGTGATAAGCCGGGCCCTTGAGTAGGGCTTTTGCAGGGAACGGATGCGGACGCATGACCTGTGGAACCATCACAGCTGAACGCCTAAGGCAGCGGTTCTCAACCTGTGGGTCGCGACCCCTTTGGCGGTCGAACGACCCTTTCACAGGGGTCGCCTAAGACCATCCTGCGTATCAGATAGTTACATGACGGTTCATCACAGTAGCAACATTACAGTGATGAAGTAGCAACGAAAATAATTTTATGGTTGGGTCACAACATGAGGAACTGTATTTAAAGGGCCAGAAGGTTGAGAACCACTGGACCTAAGGGAACCATCACAGCTGAACTCCTAGGGGAACCAGCACAGCTGTCCCCCCTTAACCTGCAGGTGGGGAGCGCGGCCCTGGCACAGCACCCCGTCCTCCTCTGTGTGGCACCTTCCTGCCAGCCGCTCGGTGGGCTGCAGAGCCGTCCAAGAGATCTGCATGGTCAAGTGGGAGTTTAGAGTAAAAATACTCACACCAGGAAGCGTTTAATGGGCATTTTCATACGCCGGGCAGATGATTTCATTTACTAACCCCAACGTTGCCCAGAGCCACACAGTTAGGAAGTGGGGAGTGAAGGTCAGAACCCGGGTTTATCTGATGTTAAAATTGGTGCCTAACATTTATTTAACTCAGTTTTACTCATCTGTAAATAAGGGGGGAATGATATATATATATTTTTTAACCTCAATGGACTTAATGATCCAGTATGCAAAAAAGTGCCTAAAACAGTGCCTGGCAAATAGCCCCTCACAAAAGCTTTATACAGATAGAAAGAAATCGTAAGTTTATTTTATACAAATGTCACATAGATGCGTTAAACTTTCTATACACCTGTGTTCTCATCATAAGCAATATCATAGGTAGAAAGATGGACCAAAAGGATGTGTCGACTGGCAGTGTTCACTAAATCATAGATGAAGTGTTGTCTTTATGCACAAAGCATAAACCTAATTGAGTTGCTGTGAGGATTAAATGAGAATACATAGAGAATATTCAAAACTGTGCCTAGCGCAGTATGTGCTCAAAATTCGGCCTCTTCCCTGTATCCACCCCCGATCCAGGTCTCAGTGACTAAGGTTTCCTGGCCAAAATGGTAATGGTCATTTTACCCTTCACTCTGCTGTCATTATAACTTTGACTTTGTAAAAACTGCATTTATCTGTTTAACTTGTTTGTTAAAACCCATCACCTTGTTTGGTTGCTTTTGTTTTCCTATTAGCTGACGCTGGCTGAGTTCTTGTTTCAATTACTGGTGACTGCACCTGAATTTTCCAGCTGCAGGATGTGTAGTGCCTTTACAGGTAAATGAAGATTAAGGCAAGTTATTTAAGTGCTAGTTGCAACATTTAGTAAGTTGTCTGTCTCCATGCAAATAACTGACTCATGAGGGGCACAGTCAGTAGTTCCTCTTGTCAGGAGAAAAGGTAAAAGTAGTATTTATAAGAGAGGGGGGAAAATCATTTTGGGGGTAAACTGATTAGCTTGCAGTCCATTGGAATCATTAATTAATATCAGGCTATTGGTCTTAGAAGTTATGAAGCTAACTTTTGTCAGAGTAGCTAGAGTTGATTAATCTTTTGTCTGCCAAACTCATGTTTGTTCAATGAAGAACTGACTATAAAATATTGGAAAGATTTATGGTTACTATTTAGTTACCAAGATACCTAGAAAGCCGTATTTATATTTGTAAAGTTGTTTGGTAAGAATGCAGTAATAATAAAGGGAGGTCTTGAGGGTTATTTGGTCCAGGCTTGGCTCACCAGTGAAATGTACAGACTTTATATTAATTCCTAGAGAGCGGAAATTAAAATCCACCAATCTGTATTCTTTGGTTGCACATTTTCTAAACTCATGTGTTAACCATTCCCTTTCTGCTAATGCTATTCTGTATGTTGATTATAGCTTTCTTTATAGGCAGAATTGTTTTCCTGCTACTACATTTTAGTTGTCTTGTTGGATTTAGCTCTTTCCAAATCCCAGGAACCACTTCCTCTTTTATCTTTCAGATGAAGCATTGAATTACCTATTATCGAAAACATAATAACGCAATAATGCATAATATATTTTTCATATGTAAAGACTTTTCAAAATGTTATGCATATACATGTATTCATTATGTTAGTGTTTAATTTCTTTGGTTGTTGATCAGAATTTTTCATCTCTTTTGAGTGCTCTATTGCTTTTGTTTAGGTTGGCAATGATGAATAAATTGGAATTAAAGGAAGACAAAGTGCTGGAGGTTCGGTTTGTGGGAGATGATGATGTTCTTAATCACATTCTTGATAGAGAAGGAGGTAATAAGTAATGGTTATAGATTATTTCACTTTTTAAAATATAGGACTCTATTTTGAAACTATAGCACAAAGTATTTAATCTAGTAAGATTGTAAAAAACTACTTTACTTTTTAGTTTACTCCTTTCAAACTTTATTGAAAATTAAAAATAAGCCGTATCTAATATGAAATGATCAGTAGTGGTGATAATACACTTTCAAGGTTTTATTTTTTTTAAACTTAGTTATATAAGTGGAAGAGTGGTCAGATTGTATTTTTAACTAATTTGAAATAATTTCATAAAGCAAGTCACTTCACTGTTACCTTGATCTTCTTTAATTAAAGAGAAAAATACTGAATTTATTCCTATCCTTTTAGTAATGACAATATAAGTAGTATAATTATTTTACTTATTTAAATGTAATGTTTAGAAAGAATTTGTACCTGTCATGTTCTGATTTCTTGGATGTTCTTATAGGAGCGAAATTAAAAAAGGAGCGACCTCAACTTTTGGTCAACACAAAAAAAATAATAAAGAAGCCGGAATATGATTTGGAGGAAGATGGCCTGGAAGTCTTAAAAGATAAGAACTATGTGGAAGTTTTAGGACGAGATGTTCAAGGTACTTGGGGAGAGAGGGGAATGTATACTTACAAATAGCCAAAATTGCTTTGCAGGATACAATAGAGTAGTTTGGCAGGCTAGGCAATGGTGTGCCATATTATTGTTTTCCAAAAAAAAATTTTTTTTTTACTATAAATACACATAACATAAAATTTGCCATCTGTACTATTTTTAAGAGTACAGTTCAGTTGTATTAAATACATTCAAAACGTTGTGCTACAATCACCACCATCCATCTCCAGAACTCTTTTCATGTGGGTGCTATATTAATATATTTCTCATGAGAAATGCATTGCTTCAGGTTTTTTCTCTGTAGTTGAAAAGGTGGGAAGTACTGAGTTTCTATTATAGCTATTTTCTCCACAGTTTTTTTTTAAAATTGATTTTTAGAGAGAGGAAGGGGGTGAGAGAGAAAGAGAAACATCAGTCAGTTGCTTCTCACACACGCCCCAACCAGGGATTGAAGGATCATGGGTTCGATTCCTCGTTAAGGGCACATACTTGGTTTGCAGGGTGTGTGCAGGAGGCAGCCAATCATGTGTCTCTCTCACATCCATGTTTCTCTCTCTTCCTCTCTTCCTCCCTCCCTTCCACTCTCTCTAAAAATCAATGGAGCCTGGCTCAGTGGTTGAGTGTTGACCTATGAACCAGGAGGTCACACTTGGATTCCCAGTCAGGCAGGGCCCAAGTTGCAGGCTTGGCCCCCAGTAGGGTGCGTGCAGGAGGCAGTCGACCAATGATTCTCTCTCATCATTGATGTTTCTATCTCTCTGTCCCTCTCCCTTCCTCTCTGAAATCAATAAAAATAAAAAAGTAAAGTTAAAAAAAATAAAATTTGTAAAAACAGTATCATAGTCTGTTGTGTATTTTTTATTTTAAAATATTTTATGTATATTGTTAAACCTTTATGTAAGGTTTATGTAGTGATGGGTACAAATTTAAGTTTTTAGTTAAAACTTTGTCTTTTTTTCTGTTAATTAAATTCAATTTTTTCTAAATACATGTTGTATTTTCTTTCAGAATCTTTGAAAAATGGCTCTGCTACCGTTGGTGGGAATAAAGTTTATTCTTTTCAGAATAGGAAACACCCTGAAAAGATGGCTAAATTAGGTATGTTGATTTTTGTAATCACTATTCACCTTTTCTAAGAAGGTGTGTTTAACCACATTCCCCATTGCATTCCCTAAAAGAATGATGAGGGATGTCATTGTATGTTATTGAGCATACTTAAAGTTATTAGTTTTTATTTTTGTGTGTTCAGATGTCTTCTGTTCTCAGCTAGATTATAAGCTTCTAATAGTAGGAACCCTGTCTTCCTTTTCTTCCCACAACCTCTAGCATAGGTTTATAACAAGGTTTTGTTCAGTAAGTGAGGCATATTCTGAATTTGTTACATAAGGGTTTTACACTATATATAGAAAACTATGTATATAAAAGTGTTGGGAATGTGCTCTTCTAACATTTTTTTACCCAGGTTACCATTTATACCAATTACACATGAATTACTGATTTTCAGAGAATAAAACATTAAAATTAAACTGTCAAAGAAAATAACATGTGAAAGCACTTTGAAAATTAAGGTGGTCCATAAGCATATGAAATTCTAGGAAGACAGTAAACCCTTGATTTTGCGGACCTCAATTTAACAGACTTCAGATTTAGTGAACAAAATTTCCAGTCTATATCTCATATATGAAAATTAACACCCTGTTAGTTTTAAAATGCTTTTAACCAAGATTTGCTTATAATAAACAGGTTATATTTTTTGTTATTATTTCACTGTTATTTTTAACAAATTTTAGCGAATAGGTCATATGTTGGAGAAAACACTGTAGTAATTTTGCTGACATAAATAAATACTATATATCTACAACTATTGTCTACATATTGAAATCCAAAAATCACTGTTCATAAACAGTGTTCAGCAAATGATTTGCACGTGATCACATCGCTGCGGTAATTGATTCTGTTGTCCCAGACATTACTTTCTGCAGCAGTTTTAACTGGCTGCAGATGTTCCCACATGCATTTAACAGCCCCAGCCCCAGCCGTGTACATTTGTTTATTTGCAGCGACTGGTGAATCACACATGCGTTTAATAGACCTATTCAATATAAATTTAAAACTGTAGTAATATATATAGAAAACTTTTCTGTGACATTAAACTTCATATGTACTTAATTTTAATTACACATATGTGTCTACATAAGTAAAAACTGGTGAACTAACCAATTTGTCAATTTTTTAACATGCACATTTGGAAAACCTCCTTTATTTATTGTCTAACCGATTTTCGGCTTTAACAGACACCCCTTGCCTGAAAATTAGTTCATTATAGTGATGTTTTCCTGGTAAAATGTATCCTATCCTATCTAATAAAAGAGAAACATGGTAATTAGCCGTACGGCCGATACCCTTCCCATTGGCTAATCAGCGAGATATGCAAATTAATCACCAGCCAAGATGGTGGCTAATTTGCATATGTCGGCTCCAAGCCACGGACTGAGGCTTTAGGCCTGGGTAAGGGAGGAGCCAGCCAGCGATCGTTGAGCCAGTGATGGTTGATGGCAGCGATGGCAGGGGAACCGGGGTGGAGCCAGCCAGCGATCCTTGATGTCAGCAGTGGCAGGGGGCTAGGGGTGCCCCGGCCCAGGCCTAACGCCTCGGCCTGAGGCTTTAGGCCTGGGTCAGGGAGGAACCAGCCAGCGATCATTGATGGCGACAGCAGCGGGAAACGGGGCGGAGCCAGCCAGCGATTATTGAGCCAGCAGCGGCGGGGAGCTGGGGGATGCCCTGGCCCAGGCCTAACGCCTCGGCCTGAGGCTTTAGGCCTGGGCCGGGGAGGAGCAAGCCAGTGATCCTTGATGGTGGTGGTGGCCCGAACCGGGGCGCAGCCAGCCAGCGATCCTTGATGGCCACCGAGGCTGGGAGCTGGGGGGTACCCTGGCCCAGGGCTAATGACTCGCCAGAGGAGTTAGGCCTGGGCAGGGGTCAAACCAGCAATTGGTGTGAACTACAGAGGAAACACCTTTTCTGAATGCTGATTGGTTAAGCTCCCTGTATGCCACTGGTAATATTCTTAGTAACTTGGGTAATAAGAGTCCAAATAGGTGATCTAGGGTTTTTTTTACTATACTCTTGGAGAAAAAAAGGAAGGTCTGCTGCTGGAGGGTTAAGAAATGTCATATCCTGTCCTAGCTGGTTTGGCTCAGTGGATAATGCCTCGGCCTGCCCAATGCAGATTCTGGGTTCAATTCTGACCAAGGGCATGTACCTAGGTTGCAGGTTCCTCCCTGGCTCCGGCCCAGGTCAGGGCTCATGCAGGAGGCAACCACTCAAAGTGTTCCTCTCACTTTGATGTTTCTCTCTGTCTTTCCCTTTCTCTTCCACATTCTCTAAAAATCAATGGAAACATATCCCCAGGTGAGGATAAAGAAAGAAAGAAATGTCATATCCTATGAAAGACACTTCTTGAAAGTGCCTAAAGAAAGTTGTCATTTTTTCATGGTAAAGGGACTGGAGTCCGTGTTGATGAAAACACCTTGGTGGCTTCGGTGACTGGCAGTGGCTGCAGCAGCGGGGTGATGGGGCTGGTGCCTTCCCCTGATTAGCCCGGTTGACTCCCACAAAGGGAGGCCAGACTGTGGCTTAGGCCCGCTCCCCAAGGGGAGCAGGGAGCAGGTAGTAGGACATCCCCTAGGGCTCCCAGTATGTGATAGGGGGCAAGCTGGGCTGAGGGAACACCCTTCCCAGTGCACAAATTTTTGTGCACCAGGCCCCTAGTATATATATATATAAAAGCCTAAGTGACTGTGACCAGTCGCTATGATGCGCACTGACCACCAGGGGGCAGACGCTCAATGCAGGAGCTTCCCCCTGGTGGTCAGTGTGCTCCCACAGCCAACCTCCTGTGGTCCCTCCCCCTGGCCGGCCCGATAGGCCCTGATCGCAGGCCAGGCCGAGGGACCCCACCCATGCATGAATTCGTGCACTGGGCCTTTAGTGATTGTATAAGAGGGTTTATAATCTATCATAAAGCACCAGCGTATATTGCTTAAGTGGTATATTTTTATGCCAATGACCATGTAAATGTTCAAGGTCAAGTGAAAAGCACTCTTGTTAGGTATTGACACTAATGAGGAACATATAAGAAGTAATAAGACCTGTTTCTGGCCCTACTGGAGTGGCTGAGTTGGTTGAACATCATCCTGTGTACTGAAAGGTTGCCAGTTCAATTCTCAGTCAAGGCACAGGCCTGGGTTGCAGGTTCGGTCCAAGTTGGGGCACGTTTCGATCGATATTTCTCTTTCTCCGTCTCCCTCTCTTTAATCCTTTGATAAGGGTTTAAAAAAAAAAGACCTATTTCTGAAAATAATATGATTCATTCATTTGTAAAATTCAGTTTTTCTGAAAGGTGTAATGTTAAATACATCATTAATTTTTAACCTAACGTACATACAGTAATTTATATTAATTGCTGTGTTTATATACATTAAGAAAGTAAAAGTTTTTAGATCTGTGAAAAATGACTGAATTCTGTAGAGCAGTGGTTCTCAACCTTCCTGATGCCGTGACCCTTTAATACAGTTCCTCATGTTGTGGTGACCCCCAACCATAAAATTATTTTCGTTGCTACTTCATAACTGTAATTTTGCTACTGTGAACAATATGTAATTATATATGTGTTTTCCGATGGTCTTAGGCGACCCCTGTGAAAGGGTTGTTTGACCCCCAAAGGGGTCTCGACCCAGAGGTTGAGAACTGCTGCTGTAGAGTGTCTGAGAAACCAGAAAAATGCTAATGTAGTTATTAGAGAGAGGATCAGATAGACACCAAGATCAAAATGAAGCCCTGGGGTGGGGAATCTTTTTTTGCCAAAGGCCATTTGGATATTTATAACATCATTCGTGGGCCATACAAAATTATCAGCTTAAAAATTAGCCTGCTATATTTGGTCAAACATTTAATGAACTCCCCCCTAATGTCTTGGCAGGGCCAGACCAAAAGATTTCTGGAGCCTCATGTGGCTGTGGCGGCCCTACATACCCCACCCCTACCCTAGGGCAATGAAGCAGGACAAAGACCATTGGAGAAAGAGGAGAACTAATAGTGCAACCCTAGGGAAGTAGTCAAGTAGAAGTTCCCCAAGCAGATCATCAACATGCCCATAGCCATAGGATATGTGTATGTGCTGCAGGAATCTTAAATATTATGTTGTGCATTTCCGTCATGTCATGAAAAGATAGTTTTCTGGATAATTTGAGACTAATTATGTTTTCCAACATCTATGTTTAGTTAGGACCTCTGTTTGTTGTGATGCTCTTTAAAGAGCTTCTTTTACTTATAAGTATTATTGCTAATTGTGTTTACATTTAAATATACCAATAAATAGAACGCCTTCATATTTTTAAATAACTTATGATCTGTCAGAAAATAATCTATTACCTGAGTATAAATGATGATTAAATAAAATTGAGCTAAACATGATGTAGGGCTAGAAGTAGACTAGGGGTTAGATTGGAAGGCTTTGTAAAATACAGAAAACCTGTCTAGGATGAGTAGATAAACGCAAACAAAAGAGCCAAGTAGAAAGGATGGGGGGAGTTCAACCAACTTGCAGAAAGATGACTTTAGGGAAATGGAAAATAGGTTGGTTACATAGGATCAGGTAATAAATAACCTGATGAGAAGCTATCATTAGGCAAAGAGGAATTTTACTTTAAAATTTCCAGTATGTTGCTGACCAGGTGTGTAAAGTACAATGCAAATGAATTGTTAGGAAAATGAAAATAAAAAAACATGCATATATGCCCTATTTTTTTTATTATTAGAGTAAGTAACCATACATGGGTGACTCATTCTTTTTCCTTTTGAACTCTTCCTCCCCCCCCCCCGCCTTAATCGTTTTGTAGTTTAATAATTATTTAAAAGCAGATAGAATAATTTTATTTCAATGTAAAACCAAAATGATCCCAGTCAGCTAAGTTACTTGTATGTGGCTTTTTATTGTGAAGTTTTTCCCCTATCCTGTGGATCAGTCTTTTATCCAAAAATGGCATATTGTTCAGGCACAATGAGAAGGCCAACGCCTGAGCCTCAGGCAAACGTACAGGTAGGCTGTTGGGGAGGACGAGGACAGTGAAAAAGAGTAGCCAGGGACCAGGATAATGTTATTGAACCCAAATAAAAGAGTAACTTCAAAGAAAGATTGAAAATCTCTAATGAGTGATACAGAGAACCAAGGAGGGTAAGAAAAAGAAGAAGCCAGTGCATTTGTGGGGACTCTCATGACTATCTTGGGTCAGTTTCAAGATTGGGGCATAAAACTGTGTGAAATAGGTTAGAAAGAGTTTGAGTCAATAAAGTGGCTTTAATTTACAAAATTCAAGACACCCCCCCCCACCTTTTTTTTTTTTTTTTTTTTTAAGTGGAAGGTAATAGTAGCAGGCAGGCTTCTTTTTTTCTTTTTTTTTTAAAGACTTTATATAAGTGAAATAAAGCTATTTCCCCTCTACATCTATTGTCTGTTAAAAGGTATTTTATATCTTTGTTCTGTTTATAGCTTCAGAACTAGCAAAAACACCAAGAAAAAATGTGTCATTCAGTTTGAAGAATGATTCTGAAATTATGACAAACATTCCTCAATGTAGCAAGGGTAAGATTTTACCTGTTATTTGAAGAGGGTTTTCTTAGTTGCTTCAAGTTATAGTATTTACTTTTTTTCCTTGTCATGAGTACATATTTACGTATTTTATTTTCTATTCTGAAAATTCATTCAACAACCTGTGTGCCTTAGTATAGCCATGTTTAGCTATCAATAAAGATCTGTGCTGGTTGAAGTTGTGCAGATTGATATGGCCAACTAGAAACAGTTGTAAAATCCTGTTGTTAAAAAAAAAAATTCTGTTGTCATTTGCTTGAGGTAGCCAATTGTTCACAGAAGATTTGCTTTGGCAAATATTATTTGAAATAACACTTATAATTTGTGGAGAATTGTGCAGCAGTTGTTTTTGAGTGACCCATTTGAACTAGGTTGAACTGTGTCCTTTTAAAATAATGAATAATGAAAAGGGCTCCATTTTTTCTTGCTATATGAATGCTACAGAAGTGCAAGACACAGCTGTCACTAATCAGTGATCACGTAATTAATAACAATAATTCAGCCTCTAGTGGAGATGCAATTAATTGAAAATTCAATAATATGTGATGGCTTCTGGGTAAAAACTGCAACTTTGCTTTTAATGAAGCTAGACTGTGATGAAAGTGAAGTATTTATAGTAAGTAATGGCTTTTTGTTTCTTTCTTTAGGGCATTCGACTTCAGATGAAGTTCAGTTGAAGGTAAGCAATTGACTAAAAAACTAGCAAGAACCTTAGTGTTACAAAGTAAAACAAGTTGAAAAATAGAGTCTCTTGATTTGTATAGTGCTTTATAATTGACAGGTATTTGCCAATTAAATACCTAACTTATAAATGAAGAATCTGAGGTTCAGAGAGGTGAAGTGACTTGTCTAAGTTCACTTAGATAAGAAGGAGGAAAGTTGGGAAATGAAGCCAGGTCTTTTGGACCCTACTGCATGCCTTTTTTGTGTTAGAATTATCCCTGGTATTTCCAACTTAGTAGACCTGGCCTGGAACTTTTATGGTTTGGTTTTGCTTTGCTTTTATAGATAATATTCTGTTGTTTTTGGGGGGATTGGACCCAAGATCCATGAAGTCCATTAGTCTACCTTTTTAGGATTTACATTTGGAAACTACATTCCAGGTTAGCTGAAAGGATTTGAGAATTGTTATTTTCTCCTCTATGTTTTTGTGCTTTTGTTTTCTCATTATGCCTTGTTAAGTGGCCGTGGCTGGATGTGGGCAAGCCCAGATGGGCAAGGTGAATCCATGATAATGAGTGAGTGGTGAGTGTGTCCAGGTCTGGGTGGTTTTTGATTTGGACATCCTAGACTGTATATAGGCTAAATCCATGCCCTTTATAAGAATGTGAGTATTCAGGGCCATGGTTATGGCTTATGCAGAAATATCCTATTTAGGCAGTCTAGGTGTGGGATTAGACATGTCAGAGTCTCCTTTATCTTTAATAGCGCTTCTTTCCTTGAGAGCTTGTTTGGAGGTTCTAGCAGGGGAGCGCAGCTACTCGTATACCCTTGACCGAAGACAGGTCCTCTCCTCGGGGGGGAAGGTTGTCCTCTTCGACCGAGCACACAGCTTCGGGAGGGACGCACATGGATCGGTGAGGGAGGAGGGGGACACCCGCCTAGCCAGCCAGATCAGTCGAATCAACCCTGGCGATCAATGGGGTGACAGATGTCGCAGCCAGATCGCCCTCACATCCAAAAAATAAAATAAATAAAATTTAAAAATACTATAAAAATAATAAAAGTCCCATTGCTATATGCATAGGAATGCCTATTTCCTTGTTTACTCATCATCAATGGACATAAATACCTTTTAACAACAAAAAAAATTCTGCTAATCTGAAAAATATTTCAAAAGGCTGATATACTTATGTTTTTTCTTTATATAATAATAAAAAAGTACATATATACTTTACAGATATCTAGAATACAACTGCTAGAATCACTCTAGGAATCTTGGAATTGTATCATTTTTGTTGTGTCCCCCCCCCCCGCCCCCAACAAATTCATTTGTCATTATCTTCTAGTTCTAGGAACTAGGTTCATCTAGTTTTAATTAGTCTATTGAAAACAAAATATTTTTATTTTCTAGCCTCTTTCACTCAGATCCATCATTAATTCCCATTTCATCATTATTATTTGACTATTTAAACTATATTGTTTCTTTATTTTTAAACAGAACAATGATAAAAGTGAATTTCTGTCAACAGCAACTCGTGTTCTAAGGAAAAGATTAATAGGTATGTATTCCTTTTTTAAAAATATATATTTTTATTGATTTCTTAGAGGAAGGGAGAGGGAGAGATAGAAACATCAATGATGTGAATCATTGGTCCGCTGCCTCCTGCATGCCCCCTAGTGGGGATCAAGCCTGCAACCCATTATGTGCCCTTGACCAGAATCAAACCCAGGACCCTTCAGTCCACAGGCTGATGCTCTATCCACTGAGCCAAACTGTCTAGGGCTATATTTCATTGATTTTTTTTTTACAGAGAGGAAGGGAGAGGGATAGAGAGTTAGAAATATCAATGAGAGAGAAACATCGATCAGCTGCCTCCTGCACACCTCCTACTGGGGATGTGCCCGCAACCAAGGCACATGCCCTTGACCGGAATCGAACCCGGGACCCTTCACTGAGCCAAACTGATAGTAGGTATGACTGACAGTTTCTGCCACAGATTCTATGTGTCAGGCATTGTTAGTTGCTTTACATACATTTCACTGTAATCTTCACAATGCTCTATTAAATTAGGCACTGTTAGTCTCATTTGATAATTTAGGAAACTGGTCCAAAAACTTAATATAACTAGTTCTGGTGAAATCACCAGCAAGTAATGGCAAAACCAGAAGTCAGATTCTCTTACTTCAAAGCCCACATTCTTCCTGTTACCCCACACCTCTCTTGTCAAACTGTCAAATTTTCCCAATTGCTTTTTACCCCCACAGCCCCAAGGTCTCATTCTGACAGCGAAAGTGAATATTCTGCTTCCAACTCAGAGGACGATGAAGAGGTTGCACAAGAATTTGAAGAGGACGCTAATAAAGTCCTATTGAGCCCGAAGACTCAAGCTCAGAATAGAGTAGTTTCAGCTCCTGTTTACAAAGAAACACCTTCTAAGAAAATGAAAAGAGATAAAACAGTAAGTGAAGAGAGAGACTTAAAACTTCAAGAAAAATTGTGTAATTTGCAAAGATATGCTACCCTAAGAGAAGAGATCCAAATGGGGGAATCAGCATACTTTTTTTCTTCACTTCTCTATATTTTGTCAGCCTTTCACATAAATTCCCATGTACCTTTATCTATTTCTGGACTTTCTGTGTTGCCCTGTTTGTATCCCTGTTTATCTAATAACTAGAGGCCCGATGCATGAAATTTGTGCAAGAATAGGCCTGCCTTCCCCCGGCTGCCAACACCAGCTTCCCTCTGGCACCGGGACCTGGGCTTCCCTCTGGCCACTGACAGGCACCTGGGACCCGGGCTTCCCTCCAGCCACCAGCAGGCACTTGGGACCTGGGCTTACCTCGCAGCCCCGGCTTTGTCCAGAAGGACGTCCGGTCTAATTAGCATATTACACTTTTATTATTATAGATACCGTAATGTATGCTGAAAATGGCATATCAAGTCAGTTGTATAAAAATGAGCTTTTAATTAAAAATATAGATTGGATAACTGGGGGCAAGATTTCTCAATGTATACCACCTTATATAGTTTTATTTTTTGTAACATTTTTGATGTATTCAAGTAAATGTAGGTAATAAGTAATGTGGCTATGGATCCAGGCTGAGCTGTTTGGAAGAAAATCATAGACATCATGGCTTGAGCAAAGGCTAATTAACCTGGTATTTTGTGTAAAGATTCAGAGCAGTCAGGAAGCCCACTGCTTGATGGCTTCTTATCCCATAGCCACCATGGAGGTTAGCCCTGCTCTAAATCAGTAGAACAAGTTTTATTCCATCTTACTGTAATAATAGTAGGCAAGTCTTTTTACCTTGCTGTTGATGTCTTCCTCATTTTCACAGTGCTTCAACTGCAGTAATATTAAAGGATTTGCTCAGACTCTGTGAGGCAAGACAAAGGTTCTGATATGTAAACCCCCCTTTTTAAAGTTTAAGTGGAAATTATATGTGGAGACTTAAGAATTATTTTGGGGAATAGACTACTTTAGTCTAGTCATTTCTTTAACTTTTATGGTCCTAAAAGTTACTCAGTGTTATCACTGCAGTTAAGTTTGCTTGGTCCAAAATCTATGTTGCTTTGAATAGAATATACTGAATGCCAAATAAAGAATTTCACATATGCTATTTTACGCTACTATTACAGTCTGGTTCTGATATAAAACAAATATCTGAAACTAAGAAATTACTTGCATTTTCAGAGTGACTTAGTAGAAGAATATTTTGAAGCTCACAGCAGTTCAAAAGTTTTAACCTCTGATAGAACACTGCAGAAACTAAAGAAAGCTAAACTGGATCAGGTATGTTGCAAAAAATGTTACTTCTAAATTTTTCTTATTGCAAGCTGATTTGAAGAGTTAAGTATACATAAGCAGAATTATTGTCCAGATCAAATGAAACACAAATTAACGTGATGTAACTCTTACATATTTTATTATATACTAAACTAGAGGCCCGGTGCACGGATTCATGCACCAGTGGGATCCCTAGGCCTGGCCTGTGCCCTCTTACAATCTGGGATCCCTCAGGGGATGTTGGAGGCCCAGTGCACGGTTTCGGCCCGATCTCCGCAGGCCTCTTGTATGTATATAAGATCTTTGGTTAATCTCTTCCCATCCACCCCTCTCCCCACTTCCCTCTGAGATTCATCGTCTGTTCCATGTTTCCATGCCTGTGCATTGAGCATCTGCCCCCTGGTGGTCATTGTGCATCATAGCGAACGGTCGAATGGTTGGATAGTCGCTTAGGCTTTTATATATATAGATGTTTCACTGGGTTAGAATTCTAGTTGGCAGACTATAATTACACATTTTTTCTCTTATCATTTCTTCAAGATCTATAATAATCAGAGTCATGGTTTATTTGATATCCATGTACCATTAATCTTGGTTATTCACTTAAGCCACATATTTATTAAACCTCACACTGTTCATAAAACAATTGACCTGACTCTCTCAGTTACAAACCTTGCAAAAAGCAGAGGATATCTTGCTTCTTGATATTATGGAAAACCTGCTCAGTGCAATACAGTAACAAGTTCTATATACTATGTTCCAGCACCTCATGTTACGAGAAATAACACATAGCTATTGATGCCTCCCTTAGAGAGGAGACAGAACCATTCGAGAGAGAATCTTTCAGTAGAAAGTGGGGTTGATAATCTGAGAAGAAAGAAGTGATTATTAGTTCAGAGAGTATCAAGATTTATTATTCTCTGCAAGCTAGATTTTAGTGCAATTTTCTAAGGTGTTCAGGGTTTTTAACAAGAGTTTTCAACCTACAGAAAAGAGGAAAATATAGGGTAAGTCTCTGTGACCTGGATGATATAGTGCTGTGTGGTTATTTGTGTTTTGTGACCTGGTGTATTGGTATTGAGACTCAGGTCAGAAAGTAGCTGAAAACATATATCAAGAAGACAAATAGGGGAGTGGGGGAAGCTGGAGGAGGATAGAAGGGGGATAAATGGTGATAGACAGATACTTAATTTGGGGTGGTGAACAAACATTACAGTGTGTAGATGATGTGTTGTGGAATTGTGCAAAGGTTGTGAAACCTTTATAACTTTGTTAACCAGTGTCACCCGATTAATTCAATGAAAAGGAAAAAAAAAAAAAAGAAGCCAAACTGTTCCAAGGAAGAGATGGTATTAATATCTGCTTATAATCATGTAAATGGTTCTGGGGAAAAACGTAGCAAATTCTTCACTGCTATCACATATTTTTACCCAAAAGAATATTATAAACAAACTAGAAGCCCGTTGCAGGAAGATTCCTGCAAGAATTGGGCTTAGCTCCCTTCTCTGCTGCTCCTACCCCGCCCTTCTCTGCTGCTCCTACCCCGCCCTTCTCTGCCGCTCCTACCCCGCCCTTCTCTGCCGCTCCTACCCCGCCCTTCTCTGCCGCTCCTACCCCGCCCTTCTCTGCTGTTCCTACCCCGCCCTTTTCTGCCGCTTTTCTCCCGCCCGTCTCCACTACCTCGGCTCCGTTGCTTGGCTTCCTTCTACGGAGTCTTCAGTCTTCACTCCCAGCCAGTATATGCAAATTAGCTGCCATCTCTGTTGGCGGTTAATTTGCATATCACTCTGATTAGCCAATGGTGGGCATAGCGAAGGTACAGTCAATTTGCATCTTTGTCTATTATTAGATAGGGTATTTAAATCATATCTGAGATATTATGTATACTCAGTTCATGCACTCATTACCAAATGAATGTCTCCTCTCCTAACCTCTACCTGTAAGAAAATATTTTTAGTTTGGATTAATTTGATGTCTGTGGTTTGAAAGTGATTTTCTTACCTCTCTTCCTTTTCTTTAAAGCAAACTCTGCGTAACTTATTGAGCAAGGTTTCTCCTTCCTTTTCTGCTGAACTTAAACAACTAAATCAACAATATGAACAATTGTTTCATAAATGGATGTTGCAGTTACAGTAAGTACTATCATCATTGCAAACCCTTGTAAAATAAGGAATAATATATATTTATATAAGCCTGTGTTAAAATCAAAGTAATTTAATTTATTTAATTTTCTTTTTGCAACAAGCTTGATATATATTTTTAGTTATATATAAAAATTTGAAAAAATAGGTGTGTTTTCAATTTTATGATGCAAATGTGGACTGTCATTATTGTATGGCTCTGCTCAGAAATTCTAGTTTTCTAGAAATTTGTCTTTTCTAAATTTAATTTAATTTGCCAATAACAGGTCAAAGGGTTATGCTAGTAAGAGAATGATTATCCTCCCTGGTAGGCCCTCAGCTCCTCTCAGTAACGCTTTATGATCTGTCATTATAAATGTACAAAGCAGCTCTTCACTCTGATCTCCTTCCCCAACCCCCCTTCTTCTTTCTTCTAGTATGTCAACTTCAATAACTTGATTTGCTTTGCTTCCCAGCCTATACCTCATAGTTAACTACTTGAGTATTTGCTACCTCTCTGAATTCCCTTCTTTTTTTTCTGCCATTTCTACCTTGCTAATCTCTACCTTTGGATTTATCTCTCTTCTGTTTATTTCTAGGCTATCCTGCATTGCCACAGAGCATCACATAAATATTGTTTCTGACTGACCTCCATAAACAACTTTAGCTTGACCCCTAGTGCGTGGTGTTCTGGGTCATCTCATTCACTCTCTTGGCCTCAGCTGCTTTTTGTATGTGAATAACTCTCATAACTCTATCTCCAGCCCAACCCAGCTCAGATCACAATCTTCAGCAGTAGCACAGATATCTGAATATTGGAGATTTCCATGTGGATGTCCCTGTAAATTATTCAATGTACATAAAATTTAACTCATTTCAAATCCATCATTCCCACCTGCCCCTGCTGCCTGGCACAGTTCCTGTCCACCCCATTCATGTAAAGTTGTCTATGCCAATTACTCTCCAAATCCTATTGATTTCACCTATATAGCTTTTGACACCTTACATTTTTCTCCTTGACACCTAATTCAAGCCAGTTTTGTCCCTCCTCATCTATTCCTCCCATTAGCCCGTGTGATCTTTTAAAAAGAGCATGGTACTTTCCTTCTTAAAACCTTTCAGTTACCAACTGACTAGTTCCTAGTAAATGCTCATAGTCCTGGGAATAAAATCTAATTAATGTCAGTTGACTTACCAAGACCTTTGTGACCTAGCCCCTGCTTACCTTTCCAGTTTAATCTACCAATTAAAAGGCTGCTGCAGCCTGTGAAACGTTTTAGTGCCTTGCACCTCCCATGTCCTTTTACCCCCAGCATCTGCAGGTTGAAAGTAGTATGAGCTGGAGAGAGAGCTACTAAAATTGGAACGCTTAAGTTTTGTGTACTAATAATAAAATTGTGCTTTTACCTTGTACAATTTGGGAATCATTATAGTTATTTAGCCATCCCAGTTCTTCTGTATTTTTTTATAAGCTTTAAATAAGGAAACTGGTTGATTATAAAATTGGCAATAACAGGTACTGAACTTTAATTTTATGAATGCTATCTTTCCTAACAGCCTGGGGTTCAACATTGTGCTTTATGGTTTGGGTTCTAAGAGAGATTTACTAGAAAGGTTTCGAGCCACCATGCTGCAAGATTCCATTCATATTGTCATCAATGGTTTCTTTCCTGGAATCAGTGTGAAATCTGTAAGTTTCAAAAATGTTAAAAAGAACCACATCATATCTCCTGCCAGTCTATACCTCCACGTTAATGAGGTTGCTACTTCTCATTCTGGAGTATTCAGTTTTTGTTTTTAGACTTCCTACTAGTAGGATTGCATACTGCTTAATTAAGATGATGAGCTTGGACTCAGAAGGTTCTAGCTTTGAATCCCCATCTTTGAATTTCCTACTTCGTAACTGATAATGTATTAAATCTTAGAGAAAAGTTAGCTTTGTGTACTGTACCAAATACTAATAATATTTCTCTGAAGGACAGGATTATGTGGGACCTCAATTTTTATTAGGCTTTTATGTCACTTTGGTACTCTAATAAAAATATAAGTAATACTTTGTAGTTTTATAATAATTTATAGGTAATTTGTACTCCAAATGTTCATATTTCTTCATCATTTGAAAATTAATATGAACCTTTTGGGTGCTGGTTATTAACTGATGTAGTATGCCTTTCTAAAAATGTCAGTGTTTCTGTTCTGTTTCCTTTGATAAATCAATAGTTTTCTAATGTTTCTCATATTGTTGGGGTATTTTTTGGGGGGTAGGGTTTGTTGCATCCCTCTTACTATCTTTACATCTTTGCTATTCCATGTTTTCTTCCTTTTAGCTCTAACTTATGCAATATATATATATATTTATGAAGATAGATATACTTAAGTACTGGGAAACTTTCTTGTTTTGCTAATCCTCACCTGATTTTCAGAGAGAATGGAAGGGAGGGGGGAAGGAGAGAGAAAGGAGAGAGAGAAACATTGATTTGAGAGAGACACATCGCTTGGTTGTCTCCCTGACTGAGGCTGGGGATGGAACCTGCAATCCAGGTACATGCCCTTGACCAGGAATCGAACCCTTGAGGGCCAATGCTCTAACCACTGAGAAACACTGGCCAAGGCCCAGTAGCATTTTTTAAAAAGTAATTTTTTTCATACTTGGAGGGAAATCTATATTCATTTTTAATTTATAAAAAAGGATTGATTTGCTAATTGTATTTATCTTTTATGCAGAATAAGTTATAATTTATGTACCTCTTGCACTTCTATGATACAGATCCTGAATTCTATAACAGAAGAAGTCCTCGATCATATGGGTACTTTCCGAAATGTACTGGATCAACTAGACTGGATAATAAACAAATTTAAAGAAGGTAACATGAAGTAGATGCTCTAGTTTCAGGGTGAAGCTAAGCATACACTTACTTATTCATGTATTCGTATACACACAAATGAGGATTATTTTTACTTTTCTCAATGCTGATTTAGATTACTCTAAAATAATTGTGTTTTCTTTTTCTATGAACTTCACTAGTTACCTAACAAGAAAAAATTATTCCTACTACTTTGATTTTTTTTTATAAGCCAAAGCCTCTTTTTTTTTTTTTAATATATTTTATTGATTTTTTACGGAGAGGAAGGGAGAGGGATAGAGAGTAGAAACATCGATCAGCTGCCTCCTGCACACCTATTGGGGATGTGCCCGCAACCAAGGTACATGCCCCTGACCGGAATCGAACCTGGGACCCTTCAGTCCCCAGGCCAACGCTCTATCCACTGAGCCAAACCGGTTAGGGCTAGCCAAAGCCTCTTATTTCAGAATAATTTTCAGGTTTCATTGGTGATTGTAAAGTGCCTCCAGTCGATTGGTACATTTTATATGTGATACTCTTATATTTAATATTTTTATTAAAAATTCTTATTCTGAGTAAATATTGCATTTCAGTAATTTCATATACTAAAATATGGAATGGAAAAAAAACTTTTATTTTGTTATTCTTTGGTGTGAATTTTCTGGCTATGTGAGCATTTCAGAAAATTAGAAATAAAATTATTTAGGCTTTAACAGTTGTCAGTCAGTCATTGCTTAAGAATTAGAAGGAGTAATTTGTTATGCTTGATTTGATGGGTAATTTTGGTATCGTTTTTATGCTCATTAAAATAGATGCCAAAGTCGTTTCATATATATGCATATGTGTACTAGATACGTATTGTATATATAATACATGTTATATGTGATATACACTGAGTGGCCAGATTATTATGACCACCTGACGTTTGTATGCAAATTAGCTATAATTTCGCGCTGAAGTTGCTAGAGGGCCAGACCATTATAAATAGGGAAGCAGGTTGTTTACCACGACAGTAGAAGTGATTTTTTTTCTGAAGATATGGGTAAACAACGCGATTTAACAGCCTTTGAACGTGGGATATATTTAAACGTGAGTGGCCAGGTTATGACCACCTGACGTTTGTAGGCAAATTAGCCGTACACTGCATCATATGGGATATGGAAGCCGAAGGCCTGTTCGAACACCTTTGCTGTCTGCAGTTACCAAGATAAAACGTCTCCCATTCGCACAGGAACACAAGGATTGGACAGTCAAGCATTGGAAAAAAGTCATGTGGTCCGATGAATCACATTTCCTGTTGCATCATGCAGATGGCAGAGTGAGAATTTGGCAGAAACAGCATGAAAGCACGCACCCCACATGCATGAGTACAACCCTTCAGGCTGGTGGGGGCAGTGTTATGGTTTGGGGCATGTTTTCCTGGCATGATTTGGGCCCTTTAATTCATGTGGAACAACGTCTGAATAGCACAACATACCTAAGTATCGTTGCTGATCAAGTTGATCCTATCATGTTGATGGCGTATCCCAATGGAGATGGCTTCTTCCAACAAGACAATGCGCCATGCCACGGTGCTCATATTGTGCAGGAGTGCTTTCAAGAACATGAGGGAGACTCTACCTTGCTTAGGTGGCCCCCACAATCACCAGATCTCAATCCAATTGAGCATTTGTGGGACGAAGTTAAAAGAGCCATCAGGCAGCTAGTTCCACAACCATCAAATCTCACAGAACTGGACAGTGCTATTCATCAGGCATGGTGTCAGATTCCTCGAATCACCTTTCAAAATCTCGTGGAGTCAATGCCAAGAAGAATCGTCGCAGTATTGAAGACAAAATGTGGCCCAACGAAGTACTGATGGGGTGGTCATAATAATCTGGCCACTCAGTGTATATATATATCCCACATTCAAAGGCTGTTAAATCGCATTGTTTACCCATATCTTCAGAAAAAAATCACTTCTACTGTCGTGGTAAACAACCTGCTTCCCTATTTATAATGGTCTGGCCCTCTAGCAACTTCAGCGTGAAATTATAGCTAATTTGCCTACAAACGTCAGGTGGTCATAATAATCTGGCCACTCAGTGTATATTTGTTATATAATTATATGTAATTACAATTGTAAATATAGTATATGTTATTTATGTGTAATTTATATTTATGTATAATTTAAAATTTTTGACTGATAGCTTCTTGCATTCAAGGAACCCTAGTCTTTGAAAATGTGTCATCTCAGAATTTTTGTCATTATATTGTCTCTCTTGTCTCTGTATCCCCAGGGCAAGAGAAATGTACTTACTCTCTCTAAAGGGCTCATCCTTCATCATAACTACCAAATGCCCATTTCTTATCAACTCCTGAGAGACTTACAAACAGCTTTTAAAAATATGTATAGGACTTCTTCCAGAAATCCTAGGGAAAAAATTACCTGATTCTACTACCCTTCCATGCTATTTTACTTTCCTATTTCAATATGCTTTTAGAGTTTTTGAAGACACATCCGCCTTCTGCTCTTTACCTCTTTCCTTCTTAATTTCTTCTGTGTTACTTAAGCTGTATACTTGAAGGTCACCTGTAATTTCCTTTTTACTAAACATTGGCCTTGGCTCATCCTTTATCTTGATCTGCAGTATTGGATGGTGTTGAGAGCTTCATCCTCCAAATTCTTCCTTCATTGACTTATATTTTACTTCTCTCACTTTCCTGATTCCTTGAGCAATAATATCCTAAGCCTCCCCCTCTCTTTTATTATCTCCTTCGGCTGTTGTGATAATAAGGCTTTTCTATGTTAAATCTTAATGGTTAACGAGAACTCTCTCTTCTTTTTTGTGTGTCTTTCCCCTCCACTCCAACCTTGCAATTCATCGTGCTCAGATTCACCTCCAATCTATATGCATCTTGCCTTATTACCTATACCTTATTAAAATGGCTTTCTTTATGGTCTGATTCAAGTGCTAACCATTCCAGTTAAGTCTAATTACTCTACTCCCTATTGATTTTCAATTAATTTTATTTTTTTAAAGAGTTTAATAATGTCTTGCCTATTTTATGAATGACTGACATATTTTCAAATAAATTGTATATTCCTAAGCAATAGTAACTTTGTCCTTTGATATATTCTTTAATCCATATTGTATGTGGTGGGGATTTCACAAATTCTCATTGCAAATAATAATTGAATTATTTTTCTTTTTAGATTCTTCTTTAGAACTCTTCCTTCTTATCCACAATTTGGATAGCCAAATGTTGAGAGGAGACAAAAGCCAGCAAATTATTGCACAGTTGTCATCTTTACGTAACGTATATCTTATAGCATCTATTGATCACCTCAATGCTCCTCTCAGTAAGTTAAATATAACTATTTTTCTTTCTTGAGATGTCAGTCTTACAAGATTAATTTTTTTAATGTTGTCACAGCATTTTTAGTACAGTTTTATTTTTGTTGCATTTTTAAAGACACAGGTAGCCAAGAATCTAGGTGTCCTCAATCTGACGTAGAACATAATTATTGGAAATAAAAATTCAGGTTCTAAAGTAAGTGTTTTACACCTAAACCTCGAAAGAGAGGAGACCCAACTGTTATTATGGTCTTTTTCTACTCTGAGGTATTGCAACATTTATTTTATGCAGTTTAGTTTAGAGACTGTGATAATCTTATTGAACAAAATGTTAAATTATTCAAGCTTGCCCTAACTGGTTTGGCTCAGTGGATAGAGCGTCGGCATGAGGACTCAAGGGTCCCCGGGTTCGATTCCAGTCGGGGGCATGTACCTTGGTTGCAGGCACATCCCCAGTGGGGGGTGTGCAGGAGGCAGCTGATCGGTGTTTCTCTCTCATCGATGTTTCTGACTCTCTATCCCTCTCCCTTCCTCTCTGTAAAAAATCAATAAAATATATATTTTTTAAAAATATTCAAGCTTTTTAAAAGAATGCTGTGGTAGCACTAATATATTTTAACTTGTATTTAACATACCAATGAAGGTTCAAATGCTGATTGATCATGAGATTGTCAGGTACTGATTTGGATGGGGAAATGGCAAAAACAAAAGTTTATAAGATTCATTTTTTTATTTAATATTTTCTCATTCCTTCCTGGAGTAGAATTTAGTAACAGGACAATATGAGAATAATTAGTAATTGTTTTTATTTCTTTGATTTTGTGCTTTAGTGTGGGATCATGTAAAGCAGAGTCTTTATAACTGGCTCTGGTATGAAACCACTACGTATAGTCCTTATACTGAAGAAACCTCATATGAGAATTCTCTTCTTGTTAAACAGTCTGGATCACTACCACTTAGTTCCCTAACTCATGTCTTACGAAGCCTTACCCCTAATGCAAGGTAAGAATGAAAACTATAGCCAGAACCGGTTTGGCTCAGGGGATAGAGCGTCGACCTTCGGACTGAAGGGTCCCAGGTTCGATTCCGGTCAAGGGCATGTACCTTGGTTGCGGGCACGTCCCCAGTGGGGGGTGTGCAGGAGGCGGCTGATCGGTGTTTCTCTCTCGATGTTTCTAACTCTTTATCTCTCTCCCTTCTTCTCTGTAAAAAAATCAATAAAACATATTAAAAAAAAAGAATGAAAACTATAGTTTCTTTTATCTATTTACTTACTTACTTAGTAGTAGAGCTGGGGCTAGAACCCAGGTCTCTTTCATTTTTTTAATTTTTATTGATTTCAGAGAGGAAGGGAGAGAGATAGAAACATCAATGATGAGGCCAGTATGTAATATTCCTTGGAGAAAGGAACAGAAGCTAACATAGGCAAGCCAAGTATTCCACATTTCCTTCATGTACTTTACTACTAGCTGTTATCTTTTGATGTTAACATTCTGGATTTGAGCTCCTGTGTGTTTTTCTCCATAGGGGGATTTTCAGGCTACTAATAAAGTATCAGCTGGATAACCAGGATAACCCTTCTTACCTAGGTATTTAATATTTATATTAAATTGTGTCACTTTTGTTTCACCCCATAAATTCCTTTTTCTGGACTCTAATAGCACTGCAGTTTTTCACAGCAGTGAATAAATGGTTTGCTCTGTGATCCTGTTGTCTGCCACATAGTAAATATCCTCACAACCCTATTGAAAGGCAAACCCCGCTTGCTTTTTAAATTTTGTGTGCTAACTATGGATGTGTATCTACCAATTACATACATTTCATACATTGGGCATCTTGGGAGATTTCCTTCTGATTGAGTAAAAATGTGTTAAACATTTTAATAATTGTTCAGCTCTCATGACTTACTTGTTATTTCCCTCTTTAATAGTCCACTTTATTCACACTATTTAAAACTGCCTGTAGGGTATAGCAACACTTGGTCACAGTTGCCTATTTTCAACCAATTATTTTTGTTTAAAAAATATAAGCCACAGTATTCCCTAGTTTTGCTTCTTCCAGAGGCACTTACCTTGGTTTTAAATCAGCACTTAATGACTGCTTTGCAATACTGTGGCCACAGCACTTTATCTCTGTGCTCTTTGATGTGGGTATCCGTATATGGGGTTCTATCCGAAATGCTGACTTATGTTCACATCTGCTTTTCAACTCTCCAGGACTTGCTTTTCAAGATTTTTACCAGCAGTGTCGGGAGGCATTCCTTGTCAATAGTGATCTGACACTTCGGGCCCAGTTAACTGAATTTAGGGACCACAAGCTTATAAGAACCAAGAAGGTGAGACTTTGCTGTTGCAGCTTTATATTCCAGGAAGAGCATTGCTTGTTTATTTAAGGACAAGGGTGCCTCTGGCCGAGATCCAGTTGTGTTACTGAGGCTCCATGGTGGTCAGGGATCCATTTAGGCAGTGGGCCATTTGAGCTCTGTGCAGAGATAAGGTAGTGAGATTAGAGGGCCAGGAACTAAGCCTAGAAGTGTGACAGTTAATGGCCAAGTAAAAGATAAGCCTGCAAGGTGAGAGAAACAGCCAGAGTGAGGAAGAAAACCAGGACATGATGTTACAGAAGCCAAGAAAAGCATGTTTTAAGAAAAAAAGAACCGTCTGCAGAATGGGCCTTTTAACCTCCTGGAGCCAATTGTTTGCAAATACGCTTGTTCAGTGTGGAAGTACAGTCAGGTGCTGCTGAGCGGCCAGAAGAGGAGGACTAAACAGATGATTAGGTTTGGAATATGGAATCCCTTGGTATAAGCCAGCAATTTTCAGCCGGTGTGTCACGGCACACTGTGTGCCGCAAGAATGTTTAAAACATGTAATACCTGACTGTTTAGTCAGGGGCACTGATCTCTTTTCCCTTAGATTGTCAAATAAAATAGTGACAACAGCCAGTACAATAGCTATCCAGTGAATGAATCAAAATTATACCTATTTTTGTAAGATTGGCAAAAAAATGTTTTTGGGTGTGTCACAGAATTTTAGTGGTTTATGTGTGCCATGAGATGAAAAAGGTTGAAAATCACCGATCTAAACAAAAGCTCTTTGGTGACATAATAGTGGCAGTAGCTCGGTTGGACTGGGTTGAGGGAGAGGTGAGGAAATGGAGACCACCATTGTTAGACAACTCTCTGAAAAGGTGCCGAGGCTGGGTGATAGATGGAAGAGAATGAGGTTTCTTAATGGGAGATACTAAATGTATTTTAAAACCAATGGAATGGATCCAGTTGAATGGGAAATTAAAGCACAAAAAAATCAATAGTATAAGATTCTGTAAAGGAGGATGAAGAAAATAATCCACTTACCCACTAGACTTCTTTTCCACTAGAAAGTGGCCTAAAAACTCTGTATTTTAAATATATATGTGTGTGTGTGTGTGTGTGTGTGTGTCTGTGTGCCCTTTCCCCTTTTATACTGCTAAATTTATATAAAATGTTAAATCCATTTTTTGAACTACGATAGGATTCAAATTTATCTTACAAATGACTAACATCCAGGGTATTCTTACGTCATTTAGGGAACTGATGGAGTGGAATACTTACTCATTCCTATTGACAACGGGACGTTGTCGGAGTTCCTGGAAAAGGAGGAAGAGGAGTCCTGAAGCTCTCCTTTACTCCTGAATATTCTGTGGAAGGTTGTACTCCGGCTGCCTCTCCTGCAGTCTAAACTGTGTTTACATCCAGCACCAGACTCTTTCCATTGTACAAGATTTAAAAGTGGGAGGGGGATGTCATGAATTAGAACCTTGATTAGCCTGGCTAATTACCAGCTCTAGTACTATGCTATTCAGTGGTCCTCAAGTTGGAGAAACTGTGCCTTTTATTCATTACCTCTCTGGAGATTCTTGCTGGAGTGAATAGTGTGCTCAGGGACTATTTGGAACTAGATGTTTTTAATTCTTTTATATTAGAGGTGATATTACTCCTGATTCTTTGAGGGCCTTTTAACACTCCTGGGGCTACTTGTTCCAGCGTGCAGAAGTACAAAGACATTGGCATCACACAGATCTGCTCTGTGTCAGAGCTGATAAGTGAAATGGAGAAGACTTACTGTTTCTGAACTGGCTTAACGAAAGAAATAAAATTGGGGAAAACTAGGCGATCCAGCTTTCTCTTTTAGGATTTAAACTACATACTGGGTGGAGGCGGGGGGTGCATGACACTATTCAGTTGGGATAGTGGGAAAAGCATAACAAGTATATAGGGTGTATACCCAGCCTAGAAAGCACATGAAAAATATGAAACACTTAATGTTTGTGCCATCACCTTCATGATACAAGTGAGAAGCCAGGCTAGAGAAATACTTTTGAATTTTTTAGTCACTATCTTCAAGACAACAGAAAATAAAAATTTAAGTATTCTTGTATATTGATCTATTTCTTTTCTTGAATAACATGCAGGTGAGTAGCATATTAATAGCTGGCTTTAAATTAAATTTTTAATATTTTTTATTGGTTTCAGAGAAGAAGGGAGAGGGAGAGAGAAATAGAAACATCAGTAATGCGAGAGAATCATGGATCGGCTGCCTCCCACATGCCGCACATGCCCCTGGATCGAGCCCACATCCAGGCATGTGCCCTGACTGGGAATCAAACCAGGACCTCCTGGTTCATAGGTCGACGCTCAACCAGAGCCACACGGGCCGGGCTGGCTTTAAATTAATTGATTTCTCTATCAAGTACATCTAAAACTCACTGTAAGGCATTTCAGTCTTTTTCTTAGTGACAATTTCAAGCCTTCTAAATATTTACACAAGCCTTTTTCTTAAGAAAAAAAGGCTAACTGTGGTCACTGTACTCAGCTTATAGTTTTCACATATTCCCTGAAATATTTCATACTTGGAAATGAAAATCATCATTAATATCACTGTAATAAAGTATATATCACATCAGCATTTTTTACTCATTTCTTATTTTGTAAATGCCTTTCAATGAAAATATTTCCCAAGATGCTCAGAATTTTTAAATCATTTCTTTGTGGCATATAATTAATCAATTTTATATTAAATCCATCAATTAAGGGTTTAATCTTAAAGACAATTACTATTAAAATATTTAAGAATTTGTACATTACTGACTCTAAAACTTTTTTTTTTAATTTTTTAAAAATATATATATTTTATTGATTTTTTACAGAGAGGAAGGGAGAGGGATAGAGAGTTAGAAACATCCATGAGTGAGAAACATTAATCAGCTGCCTCCTGCACGCCCCCTACTGGGGATGTGCCCGCAGCCAAGGTACATGCCCTTGACCGGAATGGAACCTGGGACCCTTGAGTCCACAGGCCGATGCTCTATCCACTGAGCCAAATCTGTTAGGGCTAAAACTTCTTTTAATTGTACCAAAGGCTAATGAAAAGCAGTTTTTTTCTATTCCTTGATCCAATTCCTTAGGCCAGTGGTCGGCAAACTGCGGCTCGCCAGCCACATGCGGCTCTTTGGCCCCTTGAGTGTGGCTCTTCCACAAAATACCACGTGCGGGCGCGTACATACAGTGTGATTAAACTTCGTGGCCCATGCGCAGAAGTCAGTATTTTGTGGAAGAGCCACACTCAAGGGGCCAAAGAGCCACATGTAGCTCACGAGCTGCAGTTTGCTGACCACTGCCTTAGGCAACCATTGATAGCCTAACCTTCCAGAGGTAGTCTATGCACAGATAAGGGTTTTTGTCTATTTGTTTTCCTTTTAAAAACAGAAATGATAGCATATACTTACTGGCTTGCACTTTTTTTTAAATTAACATATCTAGTTTATAACTTGCAGTATAAAAAAGTACACAAAATCTTTAATGATCTAATGTGTAAACTTTACATTTGCCCTTAAATATCCACTAGTTTATTTTTATAATTTTTGTGCCTATACTATTTGCAAGAAGAATATGTCAATAGTCTTTATTATTAATAAAATTCCAATTTGGATAGAATCACTTTTATTTATAATATTTTTTTCCCAGTAAAAACATATTGAAGTTCCTCAAAACTAAGCGACCCAGCCAGGGCTAAATATCTGTTCTTTAATAATAGTTACATTACAGTGTTTACCCTAAAAACTATAGAACATTTGGTGAAGCAGATTAACAAACCAGAAATGACAATGTACATTCTAAACATTCTTCCAGAAGGATACAGACTCCACTGATCATGTGCGTTTGAGGAGGAGGGAAACGATTTGTAAAGTAGATGTCACTCTGTGCCGTATGCATCACACCACCTGAAGAGGGTCCCTGTCTGCTTCTGACAGGATAATATTAATCTTATTCTCCAAGTGAACACTCAGCGCATCTCGAAGATCGGAAAGAAAGCCTCGTTCAGTGTTGCTGTGTTCACAGAGGATGACATTTATTCCTTGGGAAGCAGCATCTAAAACATCATGATGGGACATCTCACCTGCCAGCAAAGGAAAGAGCAGATACTTAAACATTAGACTCAGAGTCTGCAATGCTGAACCACAACAGCAGAAAGACTACATTTGCTTCTATATGAAGTATAATTTTGAAATGTATATAGGAATATAAAGGCATAAAATATAAGGAAAAAAAGGTTCTTAGAAAATGAGTTACCCTCCTCCCCCAGGAATGTTTAATTGCCTACATTTCTACCCCTCATATGTGTCATTTCATTATAAGAAATATTTTTTCTTCAAGCACCTATTAAAACATCTTAATCTATAATAGTAAAGATAAAAAGGAGAAAAAGATACTAACGTGGCCCAGTTAGAAGCCATGCTTTAGAAACAAGTCTGGCTGCCCACGTTATAAAAGCACTGGCTGGAGGAGGCATGAAAGTGGGGAAATTCGTGGTGACCCTACAATAATAGCTGAAAGCAAAGGAAAGAAAAGTCTGGCACAGGTTGGCAGCTGTGGGAAAGAAAAGGCAAATGATCTGCAAGGAGCAAGCTCCTCACCTGCAGGTCTGTCTAGGATATATTTCCCTTCACCCAATTCCATGTCAAGCTCAAAGGAAGGGTGACAAGTGGAAGCAGAGGCCTGTTATTTGGTCTTTTGACTGATGCTTCATAGATCATAGACATCTAAAGTCAGCCAGGTAAGAAGATATTTCTCACTCAGAGCACATATCCAGGTTGCAGGTTCAATCCCCAGTTGGGACACTTACATGGTGGCAACTGATCAATATTTCTCTCTCTCTCTCTCACTTCCTCTCTCTAAAATCAATAAAAACATATCATTGAGGATTTTATTTTTTAAATTTCTTTATTGATTAAGTTATTACATATGTGTCCTTATCCCCACATTACCCCCCATACCCCCCACTCATGCCCTCACCCCCCTGTTGTCTGTGTCCATTGGTTAGGCCTATATGCTTGCATATAAGTCCTTTGGTTGATCTCCCCCCTCTACCCCCACCCTCCCCTACATTCCCTCTGTGGTTTGACAGTCTTATCAATGCTTCTCTGTCTCTGGATCTGTTTTTGTTCATCAGTTTATGTTGTTCATTATATTCCATAAATGAGTGAGATCATGTGGTATTTATCTTTCTCTGACTGGCTTATTTTACTTAGCATAATGCTCTCCAGGTCCATCCATGGTGTTGCAAATGTAAGAACTCCTTTTTTACCACAGCATAGTATTCCATTATGTAGATGTACCACAGTTTTCTAATCCATTCATCTACTGATGGGCACTTAGGCTGTTTCCAAATCTTAGCTATGGTGAATTGTGCTGCTATGAACATAGGGGTGCATATATCCTTTCTAATTGGTGTTTCTAGTTTCTTAGGATATATTCCTAGAAGTGGTATCACTGGGTCAAATGGGAGTTCCATTTTTAGTTTTTTGAGGAAACCATACTGTTCTCCACAGTGGGTGCACCAGTCTGCATTCCCACCAGCAGTGAAGGAGTGTTCCCTTTTCTCCGCATCCTCTCCAGCACTTGTCATTTGTTGATAGCCATTCTGACAGGTGTGAGATGGTACCACATTATTGTTTTGATTTACATCTTTCAGATGATTAGTGACTTTGAGCATGTTTTCCTATGTCTCTTGGCCTTTCTTCTGTCTTCTTTCGAAAAGTATCTATTTAGGTCTGTTGCCCATTTTTTGATTGGGTTGTTTATCTTCCTTTTATTAAGTTGTATGGATTCCCTGTAAATGTTGCAGATTAAACCCTTATCAGTGATAACATTTGCAAATATGTTCTCCCATGCAGTGGGCTTTCTTGTTGTTTTGTTGATGGTTTCCTTTACTGTGCAAAAGCTTTTTATTTTGATGTAGTCCCATTTGTTTATTTTCTCTATAGTTTCCATTGCCCTAGAAGCAGTATCAGTGAAGAAATTGCTTCAGCATATGTCTGAGATTTTGCTGCCTGTGGATTCCTCTAGTATTTTTATGGTTTCCCGTCTTATGTTTAAGTCCTTTATCCATTTTGAGTTTATTTTTGTGTAAAGTGCAAGTTGGTGGTCTAGTTTCATTTTTTTTTGCATGTATCTGTCCAATTTTCCCAACACCATTTATTGAAGAGGCTGTCTTGACTCCATTGTATGTTCATGCCTCCTTTGTCGAATATTAATTGAGCATATTGGCTCGGGTCGATTTCTGGGTTCTCTATTCTACTCCATTGATCTATATGTCTGTTTTTGTGCCAGTACCAGACTGTTTTGAGAACAGTGGCTTTGTAATGCAGCTTGGATCTGGTACTGAGATCCCTCCTACTTTGTTCTTTCTCAAGATTGCTGCAGCTATTCGAGGTCTTTTTTTATTCCAGATGAATTTTTGGAAAGTTCGTTCTAGGTCTGTGAAATATGCCATTGGTATTTTAATGGGGAGTGCACTGAATCTATAGATTGCTTTGGGTAGTATGGACATCTTGATGATGTTGATTCTACCAATCCATGAACACGGAATGTTCTTCCATCTGTTTATGTCTTCCTCTATACACGGAATGTTCTTCCATCTGTTTATGTCTTCCTCTATCTCCTATTTCAGTGTCCTGTAGTTTTCCGTATACAGGTCTTTTACCTCCTTAGTCAAGTTTATTCCTAGGTATCTTAATTTTTTTGGTGCGATGGTAAATGGGATTGCTTTTTTAGTCTCTCTGTAAGTTCATTATTCCTGTATAGAAATGCCATAGATTACTTGGCGTTAATTTTGTAACCTGCTACATTGCCAAATTCATGTATTAAGTCTAATAATTTTTTTGATGGAGTCTTTAGGGTTTTCTATGTACAGTATCATGTCATCTGCGAATAAGGACAGTTTTATTTCTTTTCCAATTTGGATGCCTTTTATTTCTTCTTGTCTGATCGCAATGGCTAGGACTTCCAGTACTATGTCGAACAGGAGTGGTGAGTGTGGGCATCCCTGTCTTGTTCCTGTTCTTAGGGGAAATGGTGTGTTTTTGCCCATTGAGTATGATGTTGGCTGTGGGTTTGTCATATATGGCTTTTATTATGTTTAGGTATGATCCTTCTATTCCCACCTTGCTGAGAGTTTTTATCAAGAAAGGGTGTTGGGTTTGTCAAATGCTTTTTCTGTGTCAATTGATACAACTATGTGATTTTTATCTCTCAATTTGTTAATGTGATGTATCACGTTTATTGATTTGCAAATATTGTACCATCCTTGCATCCCTGGGATAAATCCTACTTGGTCATGATGTATGATCTTTCTGATGTACTGCTGGATCCAATTTGCTAGAATTTTGTTGAGGATTTTGGCATCTATGTTCATGAAGGATATTGGCCTGTAATTCTCTTTCATTGTGTTGTCTTTATCTGGTTTTGGTATTAGGGTGATGCTGGCTTCATAGAATGAGCTTGGAAGTGTTCCTTCCTCTTGAATTTTTTGTAGTAGTCTGAGGAGGATAGGTTTTATTTCTTCCTTGAATGTTTGGTAAAACTCCCCTGTGAAGCCATCTGGCCCTGGGCTTTTGTTTGCTGGAAGCTTTTTGATGACTGCTTCAATTTCTTCCATAGTTATTGGCCTATTGAGATTTTTAGATTCTTCCTGATTGAGTTTGGAAGGTTGTATTTTTCTAGGAATATGTCCATTTCCTCCAGGTTGTCTAGTTTGTTGGAGTAGAGTTGTCCATAGTATTTTTTAACAATCATTTGTATTTCTGTGGGGTCTGTTGTTATTTCGCCTCTATCATTTCTGATTTTGTTGATTTGGGTCCTCTCTCTTTGCTTCTTGGTGAGCCTGGCTAGAGGTTTATCAATCCTGTTTATCTTTTCAAAGAACCAGCTATTGGTTTCATTGATCTTCTGTATTGTTTTTTTGGTCTCTATGTCATTCATTTCTGCTCTGATCTTTATTATCTCCTTCCTTCTGGATACTGTGGGCTTTTCTTGCTAATTCTTTGAGTTGTAGAGTTAGATGATTTATTACCATTTTTTCTTATTTTTTTGAGGTAGGCCTGTAGAGCTATAAACTTCCCTCTCAGGACTGCTTTCATTGTGTCCCATAGATTTTTGGATTGTTGTTTTTATTGTCATTAGTTTCCAGGATATTTTAAATTTCTTCTTTGATCTCTTTGTTAACCCAATCATTGTTTAATAGCATGCTTTTCAGCTTCCAAGTGTTTGAATTTTTGGGATTGTTGTTATTGTAGTTTATTTCTAATATTATGCCATTGTGGTCTGAGAAAATGCTTGATATGATTTCAATCTTCTTGAATTTGGGGAGACTTTGCTTGTGACCCAATATGTGGTCTATTTTTGAAAATGCCCCATGTGCACTTGAGAAGAACGTATATTCCGTGGCTTTGGGGTGAAATGTTCTGAAGATGTCAGTTAAGTCCATTTGATCTAGTGAGTCATTTAGGATTGCTGTTTTCTTTGCTGATTTTTTGTCTAGAGGATTTATCCAGTGATATCAGTGGTGTATTAAAGTCCCCTACTATGATTGTATTGTTGTTGATCTCTCCCTTGATACCTTCCAGGAGTTTTTTTATGTATTTGGGTGCTCCTGCACTGGGTGCATATATGTTTATCAGGGTTATATCCTCTTGTTGTATCGATCCCTTTAGTATTATGAAGTGGCCTTCCTTATCTCTTGTTATGGCCTTCACTTTGAGGTCTATTTTGTCCGATATAAGTATTGCTACCTTGGGTGAGGATTTTAAAATAAAATAAAAGATTAGAGGCTTGAAGATATTCTTTGGGTAGATGATGATGCCTGGGTAAAGATAAGGGGAAGGTTCTAGAAAGATTTTGGAGCTAGAACTGATATGAACTGATGGTTGACTCTAGAGCTGAGTAAGAAGAACTATTTTCTAGCTAAGGCAACACATGGAAAGTGACATGAAATCTGAGAGAAGACATGTTCAGGAAGAAGATAGGTTAATTGGAGAACATTATGCTAAATGAAATAAGCCAGTCAATGAAAGAAAAATACCACATGATCTCACTCATTTATGGATAATTAAGACCATTATAAACTGATGAACAAAAATAGATACAGAGGCAGAGCAACATCGAACAGACTGTCAAACTACAGCGGGAAGGCCGGGGAGGGTTGGGAGGGGGGATGGGTAAGAGATCAACCAAAGGACTTGTATGCATGCATATAAGCATAACCAATTGACACAAGACACTGGGGGGTATGGGAGGCTACGGGAAGGTCAAGGGGAGAAAATAAAAAGGAGACATATATAATACTCTTTGTAATACTTTAAGCAATAAAACAATTAAAAAAACAAAAAGAAGATAGGTTAAAGAAATGCTAAACATTAGTATTTTTAAATAATCTGATAATAAACTGTTAAATGATTTTTTTCTCTCTCCACAAAGAATAAGGTATGTCCCCAATTTTGGTGTAGTTCCTATTTAGTTCAGGTTCAAAAAAAGTTTATTAGCTCCATCTATATGTCAGGGGCGGTCCTAAAATTGCCTTTTTAACTTGTAAAAGATAAACCACGGTTGGGAAAGAACACACACACACAAAAGGGGAGAAGAGAAATCAAAGGCTGCCCTACCTGTGAGGTAGAGGTCGGCCTCTGCCCCCTGCAGAACACTGCTCCCAGAGCCAGCGCACAGAGCCACCACTTTGACTTGGGACTCTGCAAGATAAAGGAAGCAAGAGACCAGTACTTTACAAGTCCCCTTCATTTTAATATTACAATTTGCACCCAAAATCCTAAATGGAATGCAGATTGCACACTTGCCCTCATCACCAGTATATAAATTTTGCTTACTAAACTTTAAAAAATAATAAAACATGTCCTCATATAGCAGACAGATTATTCTTTGGTATTGCATACCATAGCTAACCCAAGGCAGGGTTACTATTCCTTAGACATACATGGCTGCACAAGCCCGTATAAGGCACCACTGAATAATGTTAAAGAGTACAGTTCTCGGCTGTACTGTAGTGCTACTATGGGAAGTAACCTACCTGGGTCCCCAGGCAACAGGGAGAGTTAGGCAGGTACTATCTCTGTTCTCAGGTGAGGAAGCAGAGGAACTGAAAGGGCTAGTTGGAGGAATGCTACAAATAGATCTGACACATTTTTAAATATCGTATTTATTTTATTTATTTTAAAAAATATTTTTATTGATATTTTACAGAGAGGAAGAGAGAGGGATAGAGAGATAGAAACATCGATGAGCGAGAAACATCAATCAGCTGCCTCCTGCACACTCCCCACTGGGGATGTGCCCACAAGCAAGGTACATGCCCTTGACCGGAATTGAATCTGGGACCCTTCAGTCCACAGGCCAACGCTCTATTCACTGAGCGAATCAAAATGCATTGATTGGCACCATACAATGGGCACCATATTTACTTTAAAAGAACATCCTCTGGCCGTTGGCTGGTTTGGCTTGGTGGATAGAATGAAGGATCCCGGGTTCGATTCCCGTCAAAGGCATATACTAATACATCGGTTGCAGGCTCGATCCCCAGCTTGGTCGGGCCCTTGTGGGAGGCAACCAATCGATGTGTCTCTCTCACAACAGTGTTTCTCTCCCTCTCCCATCTCTCTAAAAATCAATGGAAATATATCCTTGAGTGAGGATTAACAAAAATAAATAAATAAATAAATAAAATAAAGGAGCATCCTCTGAAGAGTGAAATAAACTGTCAAGCCCAAATCCAACAAGTATTTAGCACTTATTTTTTGAGAATAAACCCTTCATTAGTGGTCATGCAATAGTGCTATTTGAAAAGGGGCTTTGGAGTTGGATTGGAAGTCAAATCCCACCTCTGCCATCTATTTTGTTTGGAAATTAACGCCCATGAGTCATTTGATCCAACTGTAGCCTTCTGGATAAGTATCTCTGAACCTGTGTGTTTTCACCGACACAATGGGAACACTAACACCTACCACGGAGCTAAGGCCAGCACTTACTGCACTTACTGTGCCCTGCCACTGCCCTGCCACGTGGACTGTGCATCTACTTTGATGAGTTAGGTTTTATTACCACCACAGTTTTCACAGATGTGGCTACCGGGACACAAAAAGGTTAAATAACCTGTCAAAGTCATGCAGCAAGTAGATAAATTTTACCCAAGACACTCGGAATCCACAACCTCTAGGCCCCTTTGCAGTGGGAACTCGCATACTTAACGTACTCATGACACTGCTAGGCAAACTGCAGGGGTCAACAAATGCTCTGTTGGTTCCTTTTCCCGAAAGTACTGGGAAGAGCCAATAGAAAAGACAGTGACTACAAGACTCAGAAACTGCAGTGGTCACTTCACTTAGTAGCACCTCCCTATAAAACATCACCAGGATTGTAAAACACCAAGATCTGCATGGAAACTGGAGCAGTCCCACTTCCCAGCTCTCTCCCAAGCACGTGGTAGGATGGTACTTCATGTCCAACTTGGGTTGGATCGGGCAATGTGACCAACTCTGGACTATGAGTTAAACAGAAGTTCATTTCTAGGCTAGAATGTTTACCTGACGGTTTACGACTCTCCCTTTGCAACAGCGACCACCTACAGTGGGCAGACTTGCCCTGCCGACTTGAGATAAACAGACTGGGGAAATAAATCTTGTGGAAGCCAATGAGATGTTCACCACAGCACAACCTAGACCACCTGATCGATAGCGTAAACCAGTCAGGCATCTCCCATAACTACTTACAGTCTTTCTTTCACTTACAATACAATGAAGAGTTCCAACTTTTCTCCGGTGTTAACAGTAGGCATACTGGACAAATAAAGGAGACATACTTACCTAAGGTCCTCCCTGCCCCAAGAGCAAGGCGAACATGAGATAGTTTTAGGTGCCTTTTGATTCGCTCAATCAAGGTTGCCAAGGAGACAGAGTCATCCAGGGTGCATAACCGTCCCATTCCAGTGTGCAGCAGCAGAGGCTGAAAAACACAAGTTAGAGAAACTGTCCATCATTAGTCCTAGAAAACAAACCTAGAACAAAGAGAAAATGCTGAGATCAATATAACATGCACACTGTGAGCTCACAGCTCCAGGCCAACGTTTGTGTCCAGGGGATACAAATCTGACAAAAACACTCTCTGACTTGGAGGAGCTCAGTCTCCTGGGAAGGCCTACTGATCCAACAATTTACAAATGAATTTGCCAGACAATGCTCAGCAATGTAACATATTTTTATTACCTTCTCCAGTGACAGAATTTCAGTCTTCTGATAAAGCTGTTTGTTCTGGGAAAGGAAAGCCACCACCTGCATCAAAGCCTGCTGACTACAGTTCAGACTGACCCGCGTCTGTTCCTCATCATCAGTCCTAGAAAAAGAGTAAAAAGAAAAGTCACCTACTGGTCCAGGATAAATATAATCAAAATGTATTTTAAGTAATCTACAATTTACGACTTCCTATAATAGATTAGATTTATATGACATTTAGCATTCAATCCCAAACCAAATGATTTTCTAGAACAGTGTTACTCAAACTTTAAAATGCATCGAAATCACCTTGTGGACTATTTAAATCATAGATGGATGGGCCCCACCCCGTTTCTGATTCAGTAGGTCTAGGTGGGAGTCTGAGAATTTACTTTTCTAACAAGTTCCCAGCGATGCTGATGCTGTTGGTCCAAGGACCTCACCTTGAAACCGTGGTTCTAATGGCTCTTAATCCAGTCGTGCATCGCTTCCTAAAATGACAGCTGCTGGACCCTTTTACAGATCCGGTGAAACAGCATCTGTGAATGGGCTGGGGCAAACTGAATTCTTCTTAAAGCCCTAGAGAAGTTAATTTTCAAACAACACTGCATACAAGAATTTCCTGGACAGATTCTCAGGCAAACCCCATTCTAATTACACAGATCTAGGATGAAGCAAAAAATCTGCATTTTTCATAAGTACCCCATTCATAAGGGCAGGGAATCCTTATCGCCCTTTGAAAAGCAATGCCCTAGAGCAATGGTCAGCAAACTGCGGCTTGCGAGCCACATGCGGCTCTTTGGCCCCTTGAGTGTGGCTCTTCCACAAAATACCAGGTGTGGGCGCGCATGTACAGTGCGATTGAAACTTCGTGGCCCATGCGCAGAAGTCGGTATTTTGTAGAAGAGCCACACTCAAGGGGCCAAAGAGCCGCATGTGGCTCGCGAGCCGCAATTTGCCGAACAGGGCCCTAGAGCCTCTCTAAAAAGGCTGGCATCAAGAAAGTTTTGCAATTTAGCCATAAACTCCAAGTACAGCACTCTAGAACTAAAAGGCACCTTAAAATATAATCTGGAAGTGTTGTCAATATTGGAATCATCTGCGGAGCTCTGAAAAGAAAAAGCAAAAACAATGCGTGGGCCCTGACTAATGGTCAAACCCAGATATTAACTGTGATGTGGTCAAACTAGAACCAAACTAAATGTGCATCAGTTAAAAAATGGGGGAGGGGGGCCATCAGGTAGGAAGAGGAATGCTTAAAGAATCTACAATAAATAAAACACAACAAAAAAGAAAATAAAGAATCTACAGTACATCCATAATAAGAAACATTATGCAGCAGTTAAAAAGAGATCTTAAATATCTACATGGGAAGATCTCTAAACATCTTGTTAGTAATATGGCAAATACCACTTAATTAAGAGAACAACAAATAAAACAAAACTATACATTTCTTTATGTCTCTATATGTGTTTGGAAAGATACTCACTTCTCTGAAAGGAAGGAAAAAGACTTGAGTTGAAGATACTGGGACTGAGTAACAGCCACACCTCATTTTACTGAGCTACACGAGTATTGTCTTTCTTTATAAACTGAAGACAAGACCCTCCACCAGCAAAAATATTACAACTCGCTTTATTAACTATACTTGCTTTATTATGCTTGTCTGAAACCAAATCCACAATATCTCTGAGGTATGCTTGTGCCCTAAAGTAAAAGCAACTACCTTTCACCATTACCAGGAGGATGAGAAACACTGCATGTAAAATGTGTAGTATAGTCCCTCCCACAGAGGAAGTAGTGTTACTTATCATCTTTATTGCTTTGAAAAGCTCCCATGGTTCTCCTTTGAGGACCCAAATGAGAGGCAGGCTGTTTTGTAAACACAACCCAGGGAAAACCATGTTTCAAACCTAAATGTCAGAATTATAGAATTTGTAAGGAAGATCTTTACAAATAAGTACCCACCGAGAAAAGAGGAAAATATACTGTACCTAGCAGAAAAGGAAGTGACAGAAACATCCGAAATTCCTTTCACTGTAGACATGACTTTGTCCAGGTCTTGGGTGTGGTTAACATTAAATTCTACCCTGTGTGTTCCCTCTGTTGGGTAGTTGGGTGCTTTGGAAGGATGTATAGGCCTGGAGGTGCAAACGCCTAGAAAAAAATGGTAGGAAAATGGGAGCTTTTGTGTTTTGTTTTTTTTAATTAAAAAGATAAACTATTATGGCCAAAACTTACAAGAAGTTAGTATTTTTTAAATTCATTCTCAGATGCTTATATACCCTACACATATACACATATCCTTTTCCTATACAACCAACATTACCCAACAATGAGGGATTTAATACAGACATACAAAATCAAATTTATTTTTAGAATTATTTTCCAGTATTCTTAAATACCACAAAAATTTGGACAAGAAAGACTGATGCAGTTTTAGATGATACGTGCAATTGTGCTGCTTATTAAATTTACCCATGTACAACATGATTCAGTGTGTAAATCCTCACAGCTACTTGACCACATCAATCCAGCTTATAGCCTCATAAAAGCTTCAGCCCAAAACAAGGAAACTATAAAAAGACTTACTAAAAGTAAAGCTAAAACACATGTGCTGAATTCCCTCATTAAAACTCTGCTCTATATGAGTGATATATTAAGTATGTGCCAGAGAGGCCCACGCTTTCAGTTCAATTTAACAAGCATTTCTGGAGTGGCCGGGTGGCAGGGACTATGCCACCTGAGTGAGGAATCACAAAGCTCAGACTGGCATGAAGATTTCCCAGGCTTGCCTTGTTCATTAGTCATAAAAATGCTATTTTTCAAATGTCATTTGGTTGCCAGATTTCAGCAGCATTATTTGAAAATATATTTTGCATACACAATAACGATCCCACCCTAGAGTAGCGAAAACTCTACTGAAAAGACGTTCTAAAGTTTCAAAGCATTTATAGGGAGAATACAAAACATGAGAGAACAAGAGGCTTCTCACCGAGCCCTTTAGCCAGCCAGTTGTTGACCCCTTGGGGGGCGGCATCATAGGCCGTGTGGGGAGAGTAAATGGCGATTCTGTTCTCCAGAGCGCGGATCACCAGGCGCTCCTTCCAGGTTTTCCAGGTTATGCGCTTCATGGGCCGGAAAATGGGCGGATGGTAGGAGAGAATGAAATCAGCCTTCTTCTGCAGTGCCTCCTCCATCACTTCTTCGGTCAAATCGTTGGTCAGGAAGAGTGTGTTCACCGTGTGTGGTGGGCTTGGCTCCACCAGTAATCCAACATTGTCCCAACTCTCAGCAAAGGAGAGGGATGCAAAGTCATTCAAGGAGGAAAGGAGAGCCTTCAGGTCCATGAAGGAACAGGAAGGACTGCGGACCAGGGAACGAACAAGCTGGACTCTCGTGGGGACCAGGCGTAGGTGAGATGACAACATACAGAAACCGGGAAGAACTGGATATCTGAAGTCAAAACACAAAAAATGGTACACATGCACACTTTAGGCCCGCACCTTTGCAAAACAGGAGCAAAGGAGCTGCAGCTGTACATACCTGGCTGCAGGCACTGCCCCTGCCACTGACCAGCGTTTTCGTAGGTAAGTTATTTAACCTTTCTGAGCTTGTTCCTCATCTATAAAACAGAAACACTACAACCCACCTCACAGGCCATCGAGAGGAGCAAGTGCATTCCTGTGTGTAAGTCACCCGGCGCAAGCCTGGTACATACTACACAGATGCTCACCCCCTCCGCCCCAGAGTACCTCACCCTTGCTCTAGTTCTCCCCATCCCTGCTTCAGCTCCCCTCCCGCCTTCTCCATTTCTCTAAATATTACCCTTCTTTCTAGGTCTCTTTCAACTTCCTAAAATAAAGGCTTTTCTTGACAAATCTTCCTTTTCAGTGTCTCTCTCCTGCCCTGCCCCATTCCGCCCTAGTATTCTCATATTAGATTCCTGTATGTCTGTCTCCCCAGTATGCTAATGCTACTGGGAATCAGGAACTATCTTTTACATATCTCAGTATCACCAACACAGGCCAGCACTAAACGCTTACTGCAGACTGGCACTGTCCCCCATCCCAACTCAGCAGAGTTTGGAATTAGGGTGGTATATTAAAAACTAATTTGTTAAAAAAAATTTACATATATATATATATAACTTTATAAGATGCACAGATGAGTCACTCCAAATGAGCAGAGTCCAGACAGGAAAAGGCAGGGCTGCTGCCCCTGAGCCCACACCTGGTACAGGAAGGCTAGGCTCAAGAGGTGGGAGTGCTCAGAGCCTGTAAGCCTAAGGGAGCAGCAATTTTCAAGCTGTTTCATCTCATGGCACTCATAAACTAATTACTAAAATTCTGTGGCACACCAAAAAATATATTTTTTGCCTATATGACAAAAAACATAGATACTGTATAATGTTGATTCATTCACCCCAACAGCTATTGCTGTGTTGGCTGTTGTTATTTTTATTTGACAATCTATGGGAAAAGAGGTCAGTGCTCCTGACTAGTCAGGTCTTGCATGTTTTAAAAACTCTTGTGGCACCGATTGAAAATTGCTGTTCTAGACAGCTATATCCAATACAAAAAATGACATTGCCAACTCCATTCTTCAATTGTTGAAGAAAAGCATTTCATAGTCTGCACAATAATTAACAAGCATAGCCAGTTGTAAATTTAATTAAAATATTCACAACCCAATGATTTCAAAAGCAATTTTTAAGACATTTCTACAGCAAAAATATTTATTACTAGAGGCCCAGTGCACAGAATTCATGCACAGGTAGGGTCCCTAGCAGCAGCCGGCTGGGGCCTTCCTTCACTCTGCACCGGTCCCTGGTGGTCAGTGCATGTCACAGTGAGCAATCGAACTCCTGAGGGGACACTTTGCATATTAGGCTTTTATATATATAGATGAGATGTGAGTATTTATTCAATATATGATTTGAAGTGATGAGGAGCCTCTGTTAACCACTCCAGCATAGGTCCCGGAAGATCTTCTAATGTCCTTATACCTCTTCCACCCTTCAGAGTCCTCGGCCTGACAGCGCTCCACTCTCCAGGCTCTTCTAAATCTGGCAAGCGGGGCAGTGAAGTTACATTTGAAATTGCCTTTGGAAATAACATCCCTCATCTCACAGATCAGGCGGCAGCAAAGCTGCCTAGCTTGATGCCAGAATTCACGATGGGAGGCAGCATAGCACGCTGGACAAGAGCAAAGACTCTAACGCCATACTGACCTCTCCCCTCCCCGAGTCACAGCTGCGTAACCAGTTACTTAGCCGCTGCGATTTCCAACTCTGAAGAAGGAAGTGCCCAGCTCATAGTTGGTCGCAATACTGAAACGTAAAGCTGGTGACCATACCTGACCTCGAGTCAGCACGGTGTTTACTGAACAACATTAGTAGGTCCCACTTTACAGCCTGCAAAACTGCACCTTCTAGGTTACCTCGTCTACACGCAGGCCACGGCCAGCATGGTGAAGAGCGGGTGGCCAGCCCGCGGGCGCCCCAGGCTCTCCCGCGGCAGCCCCGTGTCTGTCCCTCCCTCCTCCTCTGCCCCCTTCTGCAGCAGCCCTCGGAGAACCGCCGCAGCCCTGAGAAAACGGCCGCAGCCCGCACAAACCCGAGGTCCGCAGCTTCGTCCGCCGAGATTTAAATGGCCCGAGACTCACCAGTCCCGAGAACGCTCCTCGCGCGTCACTTCCGGCCCCGGGCGGGATCTCGCGGCGTGAGAACTGACTGGGGCAGGCGCCGGGCGGAAGTGGTCCCTCCCATTCTACCGCTGAGAGCCAGGCACTGCCAGAGGCTGTCCAGAGTAGTTCCGGGGTGGATTCCTGCCCTAGTGTGATGAAGAGTTCCCTTCAGTGTCAGCAGTGGTCCAGGTGGGCGTACCTGACACCGTCTCCCTAGTGCTAGTCGCTTTGGTTTGCGATAGGGAGGGGGGCGGAGGAGGCGGGCTCGCGGGGGGCGTTCTCTCGGACGGGTCCGCTGCTCGGCTTCCGGTGGGCTCTCGAAACGTATTTGGAATCTTCACACTTGGAATGCGGGAAACAGTTAAGTCGGCTCGCGTGAATTGCGCAGCAGCTGTGCTCCCCGAAGTGGTAAGGTATGGGGTGACGCGCTCATTTTTCGCTGGTTTATTCAGATACTTGCAGAGCGTGTGTTCTCGTTCTCGGGCTGCTTCGAGTGAGCGTTCCGGGTGGAGAGGCTGCTGCTGAAACAGATCGAATAAAGTAAGAAAGCACATGGTTGTAGCAGGACAAGTGCAGGGGAAAGGAAACAGAGAAGGCACTGCGATTAGGGCGTTTTGAGCAGAGTTTTGAGCAGCGCCTTGGAGGGGAGGGCCACGCCCTGCAGGGTCCGAGAGGGCCGGCCGCGCGGAGGGAACGCCGGGGCCCAGGGGGCGGCCGCGCACCGGCTCGGGGAGGGCTCGCCCGGCGGCGCTGGGAGAGGGGCCCGGACGTCGGGGGGTTGGCGCTCAAGTCGGGAGGGTCTCTTCACCCCTTCCGTCACCCGATTTTTATTACTGGGGGGGGGGGTGTTCTTCGAGACTTTTTCTTTTAAATATGAGTAAACATAAGCATGTGAGAAGAGAGAAAAAAATGAACTTAATTTTTTTTTTCTTTTGGGAATGGAGATTCGTTTTTGAACTTTTCGCGATAAGACTGAGAAATTAAGTAACAGCAACCATCAAGAAGAAAAATGGTAAGTTTTATAGAATTCTTATGAATGTTTTTCATTGTAAGTAATTTTTAGAAATTCAGTCAAGGGAAAGAAAACTGCATGGAAATATCAATGGCAAGGCAGTGAAAAATGGTTCTAAACAAAACCAGAAATAAGCAACATTACTTTTTAAGTTATGTTTTCAGAGAATTTCCCTTTTATAGAAAGAGATTGACTACAAGGTAGATAGAGATGAAAAGGGAGAGTAGGCGGAGCAGAAGGGTTTAGCCCTGGTATTATAATTTTAACTGGAACCCTTTGCTCTGTATTTAAGGGGGGCAACTAGAGCTTGAAGTGGAAAACAGCAATGAGCCATGACCCACATCCCTCTCCCCAACACACACCCCCCTGCTTTCTATCCTCAACCTGGCCATGCTCTCTGACTGCTAGACACTAACCTAAAATGAGCAAGGAAGCCCCAGAATAATAATTTTCCTTCTTTTGGGAATGGAATAAGAAAAGGAGTATTCACCGAAGCAACAGATAAAACAAACAAAAACCAAAAATAGAGTACTATGAAAAAAAAGGACTGTGGTTACCTTTGCCCAGTTAGAATCTAGAAACACTGATGCTTCTTATGTCCTGCCTTTGGTCAGAAAGGAATTTTTAACCTTGTCCCTCATAATTAAATTACGTAAGGGAAAGGTGGAAACAATGTTTTGAAAGTCATTCTCATACCCTTTTTCAATAACTATGAACGATGGTGAATGCCATTTAAATAAGTAATTCTAACATTACAATTGTTTTTGTTTTTATTGATGAAAAATTCAAACTTAAAATAATTATTTCAATCAAAATATTTGCTCCGCAATTTTTTAGCATAGACACCATTTTACCCTAACATATATTTATTTCCTGGAGCTTTTTTTCTACTGCTGAAGTAAACTTTGAAGGATTACAACTTCTCTCAGAGGTGCTATGTGGACAAGTCATATCTGAAACCGTATTTCTGTTTTTATTTACATTGTCTTTAATGTCTTTAATATCTAATTAGGGAGGCCATACAGTGCATAAAGTCACCTGAAGAAATCTCATTTGTTCTCACCTTCTGTCTCCTCTTTAGTCGGTGACACTGCATACAGATGTAGGTGATATTAAAATAGAAATCTTCTGCGAGAGGACACCCAAAGCATGTGAAGTGAGTACCGTTATAAACAAACAAAAAATGAGTTAATGCAGCAGGATAACTATTTTGAAATTGACTGATCTAAAAAGCCAATAATGTCCCAAAAAACCCAAAACACTTCTGTATGAAACCACTGTCGGGAAAAACCAGCCATCATCATTTCTGGCCTGATTTCCACTTACCTTTCCTGATATTGAAGGGCAGATAGGGTGGCTGGTATCTTTTCCTTTTGGCTCATTTTCCTTAGGAAACATAAGTAATCATTAGATATCAGGTAAGAGAACTGTATGTTACATTATTTCACTTGTTTAAATGACAAGGATAGAAGGAAGAAAAGTCAGCTATGCATATTTACTCATTCAGTAGTTACTCATGAAAGGCTATCTTGACAGTGTTTGGGAACACAGTGATGAACAGGACACATTCCTTGCCCTTGCGGAGCTAATATTCTAGGTGGGGAGACAGATAGGAGGGAGGGAATTTATTCTAGAAAAAAACTAATTCTAGAGAGTGATAATGCTTTGAAGGAAATAAAATGTTGAGGTAGAGAATAATGGGGAAGGAATTATTTAAAAGAAGGTGAGGGCAGGCCTAGCCAAGAAAGGGATACTACTTAAACTGAGTGTGAAAGGTAATGAAGGCATCTCCATGAAAAGATATAAAAAGAACATTCCAGGTATAGAGATGGTTACAAAGTCCTCAAGGTAGGAGAGCCTGCCTCTGTGGGGTGAATTTTCAGAAGGCTGATGGGGTTAACATAGTGAGCCACAGGGGAAGGGTCATTATCATGAGATGCAGAGGTAGGCCCTGCTTAGGAGTTTGTATCTTATTCCAAAACCCGGAGGAAGCCATAAAAGTGCTTTAGGCAGGGAAGCAACATCATCCAAAGCAATGCCTAAAAGACATAGTTTAAATATGCTGTTATAGTGTTTTTAGTAAATACACTTAGTTCTTTACCTTAAGTGTTTCTGCTACATGATTTCTCAATCATTGTTTTTTACTCTCTTCAGAATTTCTTGGCTCTTTGTGCCAGTAATTACTACAATGGCTGTATATTTCATAGAAATATCAAGGGTTTCATGGTTCAAACAGGAGACCCCTCAGGTAAGTTATCCCATTAATATCTAGAGAATTAATGGTATATAATATGAAGAGGGCGGGGGATAGACAAAGAATAGAAAAATAAAAGCACATGGAGTATTTATAATTGGGCTACCTTACAATAGCAAGCAGTATTTAAGCTGAAGCTACT